CATGAGACTGCTATACTGTTTTTGAAGCCTGATGTAAGAAAAATGGCGAATTTTTTTTCACTGTTTGTTTTGATAGACTTGTTGTTCACCGCCAGTTACCTCATATTTGACTTAGGTCTAAACGTTTAGACCCAAGTCAAATTTAGAAGGATTTGTATGGAGTCATCAGAGCATAACTGGGCTAATATCTCAGAGACAATTTGCCTCTTGGATGTTGCCCTTTTCAGAATATCCTCACAAATTCCATATTTTCACAAATTAACACCTTACTCTTACCATCTTTCATTTCTTACTATTCCTCCGCATTTACAATTAATGAGCTCCACAGACACGACACCGAAGTGTACGCTCCATAGCGTCTTGTTTATATTGCGAAGGCTCCATGATATGATTTTTACCTAGAGGTCTACCTGGTTCGTTCTCCGCTTCACACTCACTCATTGCGGCAGCAATAATTATTTTACAATTCCTAGATTTTAAGCAGGGTTAAGCTTTGGAATCCTTAACACACTTCTCGTCAGGAGAGTGAGCTCAGTTACCTTAATTGCCGGCATAAAATTCCTCACCATGTGAATAGAATTGTTAGTTTCCATGGTACAAGTATGTTAAAAAGTCCAAGGAATGAGCATGTTTTACAAATTATACATGTGATTCAAAATTTCAAAAAATTCAACCAATCATCCTCCATAAAGAACCGTGGGACCCGTTTCTTTTTATCTTAACGAACAATTTAATTTCAAGAAAAAATTGAAACTTTAGTTTGCGAGAAGTACGTGGATCTCAGTACTGATTCAAGACATAAATCGGTGTCGAAAACGACACTGTTCCCTTTCTTGATAGCTTATATTCAACTGCTCGCCACAATAGTAGAAGCAATAACGACTGTTCGTTCTCATCTCAGTGAAAAAAGGGATAATGAAGAAACAATACGTGCGTCATTTTCAGCTTATCGTTTTTTGGAATCTCATAATCTCAAAGACCTCAGGACGGTTTCTTAAACAACATCAGTTTCTTAATGGCATTTGCCCTGGGAGCTTTTTGATTCCTAACAGGTCTAACAGAATTTATTTCCTCCCTGTTGACAATAGATAGGGTCATGGATAGATCATATCTAAGATTGTAAATTTTAGAAGAGATGATGGTCGTACATTAACGTCATTTTGCAATAGAAATGAAATAATATTAACGTTATGCGGAGCTGTTGCAGATTTTCCATCTGTGAGGTTTAACTTCTAAAGCCGTTTTTGTCGAAGTTGTAATCCTCTCAGATTAAAATTTTGCACCAAATCCCCGTATAACCCTTTCGGAATCCCTTCCTCTCTAAAAGTAAGGGTTTTGTTTCTTCTTCTTTGCTTAGTTCGTTACTTTGTCCAACAAGTATTTAACAGGAGTCAAGGCGTCAGTCAGGAGCCCATAACCCGGAGCGGGCAACTTCCATGCGCTCGTTTTCACGGATCAGTTTTTTTAGAACGGTTTTGGTGCGAATTTTGTATATCTTTCAAATTTCACAAACCAGTCAGCAAAACCTAGAGACCTAAAAACGATATTTTTTGCCTTTTAATAACCTTTAGTGTTCCTTTTATCACTTCGAATGCGCTCATAGACATGGTGGAGATTCTATTTTCGCGGTAAAAAGTGCCCTAAAATGTATCTAAAAATAAACTGGTCCGTAAAAACGCTGTGACATAGGCCTACTACGGGAGCTGCTCGCTCCGGGTTATGGGCTCCTGATTCGGTTTATTATGAAATCAGAACCTTCCTCGTCATTAACATGACCTTATCTTTTAATTAGCTAATATACGGCAAAATTCTTGCCTCAGACAATCTATTTTGTAATCCATTCGCGAACTTTTGAGAAAGGCCCGTGTCGGTCCACGCGTGCCCGGATATTTTAGACTGCTTGCAGTTCGCCTTTTCAGTTAAATTCCGTCTAGTTCTTATCTCAGCCACCACGCTCACGCTCTTGGGTTTTGCATGCAGTAACTTTGCAAAGGAAAATAACAGACTGCTCGCAGTCTAGGATATTTTTGAAAACGGAGATTCTAGTATTCTCCATTTTAGCCTTCTGTCCATGCGTAAACGGCGTTTTCGAGTAGAGAAAAACGAAAGTTTTCAAAATACGGTCCCCAAAGTGGAGATTCTTGCCTAAAACGTCGGTTTCCTCAGCGTTGGTTTAAGTGGGGACGGAAGAAAACGGAGGTTTTTGAGGACAATGATGTCATACATCATTTACTGGTACTAGGTTTACGCATGACCTTAGGGTATTCGATCGTATGTCCTTCCTTCGTCTAATCGTTTCCATACGGACGGTCGAAAACGATTCAAATACGCTATTTGTGGACGCGTGTGATTTTTTTGACAACACAGAAAAAAATCGCAGTTTTCCAAATTATGCATACGTGTGGACAGGACCTAAGAAAACTGGCCTCAAGCAGGCTCTGTAAGCCACTATAACGTGAATCCCCCAGGAGTTTTACGCCTGGGAGCTCCCGCATAATTAAGTTATTTTCAAGGAATGATCACTTGTTCTTTGTTTGCTACGCTAAGTATTCGGCTTTTGCTGTCTAAAGCTCCGCTGTACTGCGAAAAATCTTTGGCTTGTATTTGTATACCCGCTCCCGGGCTTAGGAGAATAATTGATTCTTAATAAAAATGCTCTAAACAAACATTTGGGAAAGGCGGTTTTCAAGCAACAATTTAGCCCACCCAAATGTAAAACCAGTTAGAGGCAGAGTTAATTAAAAGAATTAAAATGACTGAAAATACTTGTAATAACAAACTTACCAACTTTCTTTTGATCTATTTCTTTCTCGCGTGCTGACTTTGATTTGTGTGATTCAAAAGGAGGTTTTCGCCCGCCTATAAATTGAAGACAGCGGAGACCAGTCCTCTGAGCTGCAAGCGTAGATATGCCGTGACACCTGAGTGAATTCGCCTGAGAAAATAACAAATGCTAATCACCCGCTTTTTAATTTCGCCAAGCATTACATATGCAAATTAAAAGAGAGTTAAAAACCATATCAGATATGGCTAGTTGCTTCTACAACTATTAAAACGGAGCACAGTTTCATACAGTTTCATCCGGCGTTCAATAGTTCTTTCCGTACTTTACATACTAAAAGGTAGGGATAGAAATGTATAGTTACTTTAATGTTAAGTAACTTGAGGGGAACTCAGCTGAGATGAATCTATTATAAGTGTTTCTATAAATCAAATTCCTATTTAATTAAACAGAATCTCAGTGTTTGCGTCGAAAACAGTTTTCACGTGTGTCAAAGCATTTCGTTAATTACCGAAAATGTTTTACTGAGGTCTTTTCCACAAATCTTTCCCTATAACTATACGTAAATTAAACTAAGCAAGGCAGTAATTTAAGATTTTAGTAGAATATTAGTGGGATAAAACCATATACATTTCCCTTTTCTCCTTATTCAAGGGTATTCAAAGTTGGCTACAATCGTGGGGGTGCTTAAGAAATGGAACTCTGTGGAATACTATTTTAGCTCTGAGATAAAGCTCATGCAAGGACGTCTTACTGCTTTGTTCATTGGCTTCGAACTCTATCAATTAGTTATGGTTGGCTGGAAACTAAAGGTTTTGATGATTACTACTGTTGCAGTCTTCTTTCTACATGTGACCGTGATCCAGAGATTGCTGAGGTGCAACATTACCCCTCTTATTACTCAGCTGGTAAGTTGCAAACCTGTTCACGTTAGTTGACTTAAACAGACAAAGGGCGGATGATATACAGTGGTGATCTACCAGTGTTTTGGCATATACTGACATTTTGTTATGTTCAGTTCTTGTCATTTCTTTTTATTATTGGGCTTATTTCACACTGGCTTGCAATGATGAACGTACAGCGCGAAAAAAGGGGAAAAAATGAATTGACATGAAATATCGCCTGAAGAGATTTCTCTTCCCTAATTTGAGTGCCGTGAAAAGCTTCATCAAATTCTCCTTAATTTCTCAGGGGCACCTATCGACGGTTTCCAACTAAATACTTTGAATAGTCTGTTTAGGCTATCGGAACACCCTTAGATCTCTACAAATGCATTAATTTTAAGCGGCGCTAGGAAGTTTGTATCTGCATGTTAGATCATCCTAGAGGAACTTGTCACGAGTTTTTTCGAAATTACCAAGGATTCAGTATTATTTTCCCGATACTATTACATGAGAAATTTCTGTGATTTGATTGCCTTAGAGCGGTGGTATTTCAGCTTAATTTGAAATACCTACATGTGAAAATTACAAACATTTCGTGGGAAGTAGTATAAACAAATAATAGCACAGACTGTTCACAGTCCCCTATTTTCCGTAAGATCGATCGTCGAGATCGAGCGCTATGCGTTAAGGGTTGCCATCTTGGATGCGTGTCAAAACCACAAATTGCACGAGACCGTTGTTAGCCTTTAAAAATTTTACTCGTGCTCATTTATTCCAAATTGCACTCGAAATCATCATGGATAATATCCATGAAATCAAGTGATTACCTGTAAAAATTTTAGATGCAATTTAACGTTTTATTTTTCTTATTCTTCTGTCCAACATATTCTTGAAGCCGAAAATTTTTATATTGGTTTCCTTTTCCTAGGAAAATTAGCTTGACATAATTGCTTCCCCGAACAGGGGCATTTGTTATTCATTTAATTACCGATGAGAAAATCACAAAATCATTGTGGGATGCAATACTGACCGAGACGATGAAATAGCTGAACAACGACCTGTGAAGTTCTTTAGGAGCTTAGACGGTAATGAGTATTAAGGCCTTTGCGAACTGGAATCAGATTTTGGGCAAGTTGAGTCATTTTTGGTACTTGACTTTGCAGTAACTTGGTGGCGCTGTACTAGTGGAAATTCGACTATGGCGTATTAATGAAATCCATTGCCTCCGCGAGTTTTCGTCTACCACTTTATTCCAGGAGACATTTTATGGAAGTATCCTTACCTGTCGTAGTTACTTTAACCTAGTCCCCGAAAAGCTCTCTGGTGACGAAGTTATGGTAGTTTACCTAAACAGGTCAGGAAATGATCACGTCAGTTTATCTTTTAAGATAAAAAGTAACATTAAGATCGCCGCAGGAAAGGGAATTCACCACAGTCAAGGATTCTGGATTCTAGGTCGTGGATTCCGGCTTCCATGCGAGGTACTGGATTCCAGTCTTTGTCAGTAGAATTTGGATTCTGGATTCCTTGAGCTGTATTTCGGGTTCCAAAGCCCAGGATCCCGGATTCCATGAGCAAAAATTTCCCTGTTCCGGAATCCGGATTCCCTTTCATTGGGGTATCAGGAACTTATTTGGGTCTAGGTTGAGTCAGTCGGTCGTTCAGTCAGTCGTGTTTCTCGAGAAGCCGGAGGAGATTGCTAACGGGCCGAGAGGGAATTGGACAAAAGCCTCTTCTCCTTAGTTTCCCCTCGTCTATGACTTACTTTGTTTGACGGACTTTTTATCTTTTTCAGTGTTTAGCATATGAAGCAGGAGAGGTGTCTGGATCGTTCTGTTCTGATCTTTGCGAACATAATAAAATTCAGCTTGGACAATGTCTCTCAACGGTGCCTGAAAAGCAAATCTATGAAGCAGACTGGGAGGACAAGCAAGTCATACTTAAAATCAATGTGACCTGGTTCAAGGAGTTCAGTATACGCCGGGACATGAAAGACAGCGATGCAGCGGCGATGTATAAGAACGACGTTTCCGCAAGAGCAAGAACGATGTTTGGAGATTGCTCTCAATGCCACAAACTAACATCTGCTTTAGCGATTCTTGGAGATAGCAACAGTGATGGGATAGTGACAGGTACCGAGGCCAAAACATTCATTTCCTTGCTGCAGTTTATAGAACCCTTGATGTTGATAGCTTTAAATGACAGCAAGTACACCGTGGATTTCTATGGGTACTGTGGTGGATTGTACGCAGTCGAGAAAGTGCCTCTTATCGCCTCAAAAATATTTGGAACTACCTGGGAACTGTTGGAACTACCCGGGGATATGTTAGAGCCACTTAAGGTTACTTTCAATTACTATGTAGGAAAAATCGTTCATGCTGCAGCTTTTTATGCGCAATATGCCGATACAATTTTAAAGAGGACTTTGGCTTTGAATGATTACCCTATATTTTCTAACCTCTTTTCGGTACATTTTCCAAGCAGAAGGGAAAAATTTCAGTTTGCGTGTTCTTTGCTCGATACGATAATGAGCCTGTCGGAACATCCTTACGGCCTGGTGCAGCAGTGTGACGGACACCTAGGAAATTTTGGGATCACCAGTAACGCATCTGTCAAAATTATTGATTTGGATTTGTTGTTTCCTTATTTTTACATTAAGGATCATCTGGAGCGAAAAGAATGTCTGTCAGACGAGGTGTGTTGGGTGGGAAATAATCGCTTTTGTTTGTCAACTTGTGATTCCAGCAAGGGATTTTGCTCATCAGACATGCTGTACCAAGATTTACACGTCGTTTGCGAAGGTTTTTTACCTCAAATCTTCGATGATTCTGGTATTGTAGAAGCAAAAGGACATAACAATACTGTACTGAGACGGGCTATAGAGGGCCTTGGCTCGTATTGCAGTAAACTACCATCGGTGTACTCATCCCGTGAAATGAGACTTAGGATCCTTAATGTCAAAAAGAAGCTTCGATCGATTGAAAACAAATCAACATGTACAGAAAATTGTTAACTATAAGTAACCTGTAAAGGTAACCAACAAAAAGCTTATGATCTAACGATATACTGTTAATCACGATGAAATCGTTTACCAGTATTATAGAAAGGACTGTTCTTCGTTTTTCGCACAGGAGTGCATTAACGATGATGATGCCAGAGCGCTTTGTCTTTACCTCGTGAATAAAATTCGATGAATCTCATTACGAATTAAAATGCAGTGACTACTTTAAACAGTTCGACAGGTTTTGAGTTATTCTTAGATCGATATTATCAATGTTTAAGAGTGGTGTTCTGGCCCTGGTTATTCCAAATGTGGATCAACCTCGTTCCCAGGGTCCTCTCCTACTCGGTCCCCGTGGCGAGAGAGAGAGAGAGAGACATCCTGGTCTGGTCACGTGTCCTTTGGACAAATGATATAATAAGGGAGGGTCTTTCGATTTCAAAATTTTGTCGACAATATTTTTGTCACCTTCAAAGAGAGGCTATTTGGAAAAGAGTCACGAATCATTTCGATCGCCATAATTAAAACGTGCGTCATGTTTTTCAATAGCCTTCACTTTGCAATCCCCAGTAGCATTTACTCTAATATCAATCTTAAAGCAAACCAGGTTCAGTACCTAAAGGCAATTTATCGTGGCGGAGATGTAGTGGCTGTGTTGCCAAGGGAGGCCGAGTGGGAGAGGACCCTGGGAACGAGGTTGAATCTGAATAGTTCAAACCACTGGAAAAATTTCTACCCAGTATAATTTATAAGCATTAGGAAAACCAATTGCGTTACTCCACTGAATAGAGATTTATCTGGTGGATAGCGCTATCCAGCTTTGGAACAAGTGGGGCAAGAAAATAAGAAAAGCGTCCCTGGGTTGATTTATTGTAACAAAGGAATAAGCCCCTACTCACAAGTCGCCTAAAATCACTTAGACTACGAGCAGTCTCTCTCTTTTCTTGGTCCGTCGAGCAAAACGCCCGCGACACGCAAATGACCACGCGCGTGACTGAAGGCGCGAGACGAGAGAGGGAGCTCCCTCCCTTGTTTCTCGCGTCTCGCGGCTTCGCCGCTCAACGCTCGCGTGCGCGTGCACTCCTCTTACTAAATCTGAAGAAAAAGAGACTGCTCACGGTCTAAAAATCACGGAGCCGTAAAGTTATTATGCAATTTTATTTCCTTCCACACTTATTTTCCACGTTCCGTTTCTGATTTTCGACGTGCAATTTGTGCATATTAATAAGAGTGAGGGAAAAATGGTTCTTCTAACAACTAAACCTGATAGTTTCCGTTTCCTAGTCCCTCACAGTTCAGTTATTTCGCTCCTCCTCAAAATTTCCATTGTCTTCCCTCCACCACAACATTTCTATTGTTCTCCTCCATGTAAGAATAAAGTCAGACGGAGTATTATTCACAACCCTTCCCTTTTCAGATCAAAACGAACAACCTGTCTCTAGTGTGAAACGGCCGGTATGTACATAATAAATGCCATTAATAAATGTTCAACCACTCACACTAAAGACTTTTGCCCCTTTAAATATTAAGTTTATTGGCATTAGATAGACCTGTACGGACTATTTCCACCCGAGAAATGTTTCGTCCATGTCAAGAGAACACAATGTGGCAAACTAAAAACAGGCTCGGAACAAATTGATGTGGCCCCCATTCAAGTGCACATGGCACTGTAAATCGACAATGAATCTTTAAATTTCAAACGAAATCCTCATACTGCACTGGTTTTCTTTACCTAAAATGAGCTAAAATGGACTATATACAAGTGATTTGTATGTACATTAATCGACACCTCTGTTTTTGCACTCTATCAAGAGCGCTTACCATTAGTACGGTCAACACTGGCCAGATAGACCAGTGTAGCTATAAAGAAATTTTTACTATTTAAAAACAAGACTTTCCAGTCAGGTCAGTCTATTCATAAATAGTATACACGGTAGTGATAGGTGTTAAATGAAATCTCTCGAGAAAAACCTAGTACATCTCCAAAATGACCAGTCCAGCAGGTTAGTTCTGACCTTTGGTAAGCGCTCGAAGTATGAGTCCTTCATAATCAAAAGTTTTTCTTGCCTGATATGCAGCAGCTGTCTTCGTCTATTGCGGGAAGCGGAAAGGAACTGCACACAGGCTAAAATCACTCAAACTATATCAAATTGAATACTTAGTCATTTGCAAAGGCGGGTGTCAGAAGTTCAGAGTTTCAAATCTTGGCTTCGCAATGACCTACTAGAGATCTTTAGATTCTAAGACGAGGACGAGATTTTCTCCATACCAAGTAGTCCGCACGCGTGAGCCAGCGTCATTTTGGAGGGAAAACGTAATAGCCGTCGTCCTTCTACGAGTTTTAGCAAGAAACTGTCTAATGATCGAAACAATTTATCAAATGTTAAAAGTTTTATCAAAGTGCGATTTGTAGAGGGCTTAACCTCCTTCAATAAAGATGACAGTACTAACTTTTCCGGTAAAAAAAATACAGCAAAGCATTACTGGTATCTCTGTTTTTTTTGCAATACACGTAAAACGTTTAATCGAATTTCGTACTCGTAGTTGTTCTCCAGTCTATATAGGTCTCTACTTTCAGTGTCGTTTTGCTTAGCAAAAACAACGCCACATCAAACGATAACGAGAAAGCGCGCGAAAAGAACTGGACGCGGCTTGGGCCATTGGTCAAGCCGGTCTTTTTCGGATCTGCGCGCGTTGTCCTCGCTAAAACTGCCTATTGATTCGAACGCGAATGTGCGTAAGCATGTTTTCAATGCAAAAGAACTGACTTCGCTGGACTCTAAGAAAAGGACTTATCACAATATCAGCTTAAAAGGCACTAAAGAAGTACAATATGATGAAACCGTGAACTAAGCGAAAGGGGTATTTCTCACGAAAAACATGTGGCGAGTCCGAACAAAGTCACTGAAAATTTGAACAATTTTATGTAGATTATACTATTATGAAATAGATTCCTAGCAGACCCTATATTCAGTCCGCTGAGAGGGCAAGGTGTCGCAGCAAGACTGGAAGAGAATAACGAGTAATATGCTCGCCTTTGCAAGAATCCTTTGGGATTGCAAATAGTCTAAATAAAGATAAATTCGCCACTTTGAAAAACGAGAAAGGAACTGGGCCGAGAAAACTTTCGAAAAGCCTTCTGGGACTGTTATTGGGGACAGGGAAAAAATTGACCGGCGCGTCTCCCAATAGCGATCCCAGACACAATTGCGGGACGCATTTTGCCTTTAGTTCCTTTCTGGTTTCTAAAGTGGCGAACAGGCACACGGGTGTTATTTACATTGAGTAAAACCAGCCAACTGAATTCTCTTCCTCTTATGTCTGTCCTACTATACAACGACCTTTCATGGAGTCTTAAAAAATATATTCAACTTGAAAACAAGTTACTTCTAGACTAACGTTCCTTTTTTCACTGGCCGTAGAGGCGGTGAATTCCAAATCGCAGAACTTGTGCGATGAAGGTATCGCTGCTTTTTCTTCGTAAAAATTTCCTCCAAGTTCGGCGCAGGAACGCTGTCGAATATACTGTTCACGTCAATGTTCGAGTATTCCTGCTTAAAGATGGCGGCCGTGAGAGCAGGTGGTCTCGCCCAAGCTGGGATTTTTTTCCTCGGGTTATCTTCCTCGTCAGTGGAATCGTCGCTGTTTAAGTCTTCGATGTTGTAGTTCTCTTGCGATGATGGCTGGCGTTTTACCTTTACCGGAGGGGGCGTCATGTCGTAAGAGTCGCACGATGATTGGTTTTCGTCTAATTTTCGTTCCTCGAGAATACGTAATCTTTCTCTCTCCCTTTCCTCCAGGCGCTTCTTTTCGCGTAGTGCTGCATCACGTTCTTCTCTGAGCCTTTTTTCTCTTTCCTGCCGTTCTTTCTCTTCTTTGGCTCGCTGTTCTCTCTCGCGTCTTACGGCCTCTTCCTTCTCCCGGATAAGCTGCGCAATTCGTGCCCGTTCCTTCTCTTCCCTCTCTCGCTCAATTCTCAATTTTTCTTCCCGCGATTTTCTCTCCTTTTCTTCCTTTTCTCGCAGCCGTTTCTCTTTCTCTTCAATCGCCCTTAGCTTCCTCTGTTTGTCCAGCTCTCTCTCCCTTTCTAACTCTTTCTCTCTGTGTTCTTGGAGACGTTTTGCCTCAGCAATTTTCCTCTGCCTTTCCTGCTCTTCTAACTCCTGTTTCCTTTGAATAGCTTCCCGTTGGCGCTTTTCTTCCTCTTCCTGTTCTCTCTTGCGCAGTTGTCTAGCAGCCTCCTCTTGCTTTCTTCTCGCTTCCAGCTCAGCTCTTTTCTGAAGTCTTTGCTTCTTTTTCTCCTCGTCTTCTTTCTCTTTAATTTTCTTGGCTTTTTCCTCGTTAAGGTGTCGCTGGTCTTCAGCTTGCCGTTTCTTCTCCTCGAGCGCTTGAAGCTTAGCAGCTCTTTGTTCTGCCGCTTTCTTAGCTCGCTCCTCTCTTCTCCTGAAGTTACAAAGAGGAGAAAAAAAAAGTTTCGACTGACTGCTAACAAATCATAGCCTGTGTCAAAGATATGGACATCAACATATTTTTCTTTTTCTTTTACGCATTTCGGTCAACAGCTTCATGGTTATAAGTAAGTATTTCTTAGGATTATTTCTACATCGAACGAAACTGTTTTACATGGCGCTTTGCATTTCTCTACCAGTTGCCGGCCAATCACAATCCTGAAATGTACAGGGAAGTGCCGAATTTCTTCATACGGCAAATGAGCGTGTCACAATAGTATACAACTATTCCCCGTAGGGGAGGTGAATAGTGGTAGATATATAACAAGACTGAAAAAAAGTAACCTTTTGTAAATTAAAAAGGTCACTTAGTAGGAACTTTGTTTCCAATTTTCAAACATTTCGGGGGATTTTGTCAAGTGCATTTTACGTTTTTGTTGCAAATTCAGCCTGAAAATAATTTTCTACCTATCAGTGAACACCGAGAAGCAAAAGTTCGTCCCTTTCTTGGTATTTTTTGTACGACTGCTCCATTTATCGCACAAATTTTGTCTTCCGAAAATGTCTCGAAACGAGACGCCATCTTGGCTCCGGTCGCAAAACAGTGAATAGCCAAGACATTCCGACTTACGGGATCCAATCAACACGCGCGAAAATTGCTATTCACTGATTTGGTAAATACTAAAAGATTTTATCTCGCAGGCGATAAAAATGAACCCAAAAAAATTAAATAAATGCTTCAAACTCGGCTCACCTCTTTCGCTCCTCAATTTCACGTTGTTTCTGCTTTTCAATTTGTTCCCGCCTCTCTTTTTCCTTCACCTCCTTCTCTTTTAATGCAATACGCAGTTGCTTGTGCTTTTCCTGAGGAAAAAAATATTACAAAATAGAACGATGGAGGAACGATAAGCTTTCAGTTGAAAGGCGAAGTCCTGAATTTCAAATGCATTGTTTGGAAATTTCAAATCAAAACATTTGAAAAGTTGAGGCTCCAGGTTGGGTAGTCTGTGCAACCATCATTACTGCACAGGAAAGAGAATGAGAAGAGGGGGAGCTACAGCCAAGTTTTTAGTTCTTTGGGGGGATGAATGGAGTTATGAACGCTGTAGATACCAATCCGTCTGCAGCTGCATTTTGGTGAACGTCGTTTAGAACTCAAGAACTACTTTATAACTACAATAAATCCAAGAATTATAATTCCCGTTATATCCTGTGGATTGAATTTTTTGTGCAGTTGACTGCAAATGATTCCCTTAAAGCTCTTCTAGTATTACTTGACCCATTGGTGACCGTATTAATGGGATTCCACTGTACTACTAGGTGAAAGTACTACCAAGCAATGAAGGTTTCATGTGAATGGTCGCAGCATATGATGATTTTGTTCACAGCCTCAAAAGTTAGAACTACCTTACAGAGACTCTACCACTGACTTTGCAACGATATTAAATTTTTATGTCCTCTGCAGGGCTGAAAAAATCTTGAATTCCGGCTTGTACTTTGGGCAAGCAGCTCTTACATTTTTCTTGCTCAGGGCCATTCCTTGCTCATCTAAGGGCGCTTTCCATTTACCAGAAATGGCTGGCCAGGCCATTGCCCGACCAGTCAGTTTGAAAATGAAAAAGGGTTTTTCCAAGAGTTTTTTCTGAAAAACCATCTCCTTCGTGCATACTATTTAAGATTTGACTGATCTGGCTGGATAGTTTTGATTAAAAGGGAAATCATTGTTGTGATAAGAATGGTCTGGTTGGTGAGTTCGGTCATATGAAAAGCGCCGTAAGTTCATGATTTTGTTTGAGGATGACTCTCCAGGACTCTTACCCATTGGGTAAGTAAGTTTTAAAAGTTTCCTACCCATGAAGAAAATCTACTAGTCCCGGACTACTGGACAGGACTTTATTCAAGCCATGCCTCTGGTACACCTTGCCTGCCTTAAGTAAACAAGAAAAGAATAGCTACAAACCTCTGGATCTACTTTCTTTGGAGTGTTTCTTCTAATAAATGAATGCACAAGGGCAATATTGTTTGGTTTGGCCTGCTGTCAACAGAAAAACAAGATGTCATTCATAGAATTAATCATCTTATTTTTACACCAGAGATCAGGTTTTTTTATCGATATTTGTGCAATATACTTGTTCGTAATAAGCAATCAGCAATGAACATGGCCAAATGTAATTTAATTAAGTTAAACCAGAAACATATAACCCCTGAAGCACGTTTTGCATCTAAGTCACCCTTTGCTGATTTCTGCCCTGCCCCTCGCTCCCTCTGTACTATGTTTTATTTCCATTGATCTATTTGGCCAGTGGGACAGTGCTGGTGGTAGTCGCTGTTTGCTAGTTGCCATGGATACATTATGCTTATCTCTTATGTGCTTGCTTGGCATTACCATCCTTTAGGGCACCCACACCTAACCCCATTTATTGTTGATGAGTTTATGAAGGGCCATTAAATTCTAATTTATTTTAACCTTTATTTCGCTTCCACATTCATCACACAGTTTTTGAAAGAAGAATCATGGGAAAATGTTAAACCCATTTAAATGAGCCTTGCTTCAAGGTTCTGTGCAACTAGTCCCAGAGGACTTGTAGTTCACAATGAACGTGCCCTGATACACCTTTTGAACAGAGCCTTCGTTTGTCTTCTCAGGTGAGGAGAAATAAAAGGAGACTCTGCCTGAATCACGGCAAACCTTTGAGGTTGCCACAGCTAAAACATATGGGCTAGTAATCTTGCTCTCTCTTCTCAAAATGTTATTTTTTTCAGTGTAAGCATCTACAGTCAACTCTCTCTAAGATGGACACCTTTGGGACCGGCATGAACTGTCCGTCTCAGAGAGGTGTCCGTCTTATAGAGAGTCAAATAAAAGGAGTAAAGAAAGGCAGGGACCAACTCTAAGTGTCCGTTTTACAGAGGTGTCCTTAAGAGAGAGTCGACTGTATTTATTGATAAACTGATGGTCATAACTGAAAGCCTATGTTCAAAACTATCTCCACAACAAAGATCTTACTTGATTCCATGCAGTCTTTGTCTGCTGTCAGGGTGGCCCTGATATCACTATGCAAATTATGAATACAGATCTCTCTTACCTTCTGTGGGGGATTGTTCACAGCTTCTTGTTTCTCTTGTGGAGGTGTCTTGAATTCTTCACTCATTCCTCCTGATGCAGCTTCTGAGCCTTCACTTCCACTGGTATCATGACTTGCTACTGGTGATGTGAAGTTCTCCTCAGCTGGTAACTCATCACTGTTTCAATGGATAAAATCAATGTAACTCATTCACTCCTGACTGTAGGTAGTTATAAAATGTGGGTTGGAGCATAGTGCTAGATATGCATCTTATGCTTTGCGTCCAGTATATATCTCCTACTATTCACCTCCCCACCAGGGTATGTACTAAGGGGTGTTTACATGACACCGGGGCAACTTTCGCATTCGCGCAAGATCACTCTGGTTCCCTCTCATGGCTCTACATTTGTTTACATGATACCACCACAAAATGACATGCCGCCGCGAGTCACCCCGGTTGTTGTACCGGGGCAAGAAATTCACTCCAGTACAAAATCTCGCAATGTATCATGTAAATGCGAAACAAACACCCGTTTTGGAGTGGAATCGGTCTCCCGGTAAACTGGAACGGGAAGTGCATGCGTAATGTTTGCAATTTTGAATGGCACACGTGTATTTTATCAACATGAAGTGCTCACTTCAAATAACGAGATATGAAATGCAATACAAAATCAAAAAGTGAATCCCAGTGTGAAACTCACACCAGTACGAGTTTTCTCACGTAAACACTCCCTAAAACAGGGAAACTACAACACATGACCATGTCAGAACACCACAGAATATTAAAAAAATACTCATCAAAAAATGAATAACAAATAAGTAACACTATATAAAAAATTAAACCCAATTGGCATGTAGTTCTCACTCTTTGTGGGTCAGGTCAGCAATAGATTCCATCCCCTGATGCTACCTTAGGCCTTCACTCTTACTAACACTTATGTGTTCAAATTTCTAAGTCTCTTCACAAGTACATTTTTGTTCTCTATTGCTCTGGTCCCTTGCTCTCTGTTATGCAACACTCTCCTGGTGTGTCCTTTTTTAAATAGTTTTTACCTGAAGATTACGTGGGTCACACAACATCTACATGTAGTCTTACATAAAATGTAATGTGATACTTGTTTTTGCAGATTAAACTTTGTTAGATCAGTTTGAAAAATGGCTTTCAGTCCATGTGAATTTTCAATTTGCCTTAAAGTACCTAGTATGTAATTTGAATTTCCCCAAAAGTGAGCACTTGCCCATAAGGCAAAACCCACTAGCCTTGGGCTACATGTACCAGACATGACTAGGCTAAGGTGCATACCTGTCAGTCTTTGCATTCTGTTCACTCTTAGCTTCATCATCATCATGAATCTCAGTTGCTCTACAGTCATGAAACACTTCTGCAACGTCACCGTCATCAGGTTCTTCCACCAACTTTTCCATCGCAGCATCAGCCTTGTCCTCAGCACTACTACAACTACTAGGAGATCCAGCTGAACATTCACTGGAGGTACTACTCTCACTTGCCAAATTATCAAACAGCCTCACTCTAACACCTTCCAGATCAGGCTCTAATGGTTCTTCAGCATTGCTTTGAACAGAACCATTCAAATTCAACTCTGGCATGAGCTTGGATTGTGTCAGCTTAAGCTTAACAGAGCTTTTGACGAGACTCCTCTTTCCTGGTGCTTTTGCCTTGCTCTTCTTGACTGCTTGCTGTCTGTCTCCTGGAGACATACAGAGACTGGAGCACCTGCTCTTCCACCGCCATCCACTGTTTCTTCGTGTACTTCTTCTTCCAGACTTCATTCCAGTTTCGTATGTCTTATTGACATCATCTGTTTGTCTTGTTTCAGCGACAATCTTCTCTGTTGCAGCAGAGTTTTGTCCATGGTCGATTACACTCTCAATATGATTTTTCTTCCCAGTATAACCAGGGTCACTCTTATTTTCAGACTTGAGTATTTCTTTTTTGCAACTGTCTAATGACTCCAAGGGTGTGGTTGGTAACAGTGAAGACTCAGTCACAACATTATTACCGTTTGTTGTATCTTTCTTTTCAGATTGCACAATATCATCACCTGTAACATCACCGGCATGATGAGCTTGCTCAACACAGGGACTTGAGGCGACTACAGGGTTTGCTCCATTTCCAAAATTAAACCCTGGTGATTGTAGCACTAAATGGACAGTTGCTTTGCAGGTCTTAGCTGATGCAGGAGGAGATTTTTCTGCGTCAGCAGGTAGATCAGGAGTCTCAGGTACTGGGACAGTAAGTTCTTTTGCACCTTCTTGGCCTGAATTTGAGTTTCTTGTACTCCTTCTTAGTGGCTGTGTTTCTTCGACAGGTGACACAGGTTCCTGTTTCACAATAACTTCAGGCACAACTTCTCCCGATTCCTTTAAATTTTTAGTTGCACTTGAAGTGCTTTCCTCCATTATAGGTTGCGGCAGTTGTTCTTCCGTTGATGAAATCTCTGCAGAATCCTTGAGTTTTTTCCTGGTATTTCTTGTAGATCGTTTGGGTATCTTGTTCTCTTCATTGGAGGATAAAGTTTCATTTTCTTCTATTTTCTTTCTTGCATTTCGAGTGATCCTTCTTGGCTTTTCATCCATCGAGGATGAATCTGTCTGCTCTTCATTTGCCACTGGCATCTTTTTCTGCGATCCTCGCTTTGGCTGCTGTCGTTTAGTCTGAGTCCCTGCCCTTGTAGCTCGTGTTTGTCTCTTGTCACTAACTTGTTTGGTATCTTCTTCTGTAACAGTGCTATAATCAAGAGGCTCATCCTCATTTATTACTGTCAGTGGTGATGCATAACCTTGTGTTTTAGGGGCCTTCATTTCTCTTGTCATTTTGAACAAACTGTCATCGCTACTTTGTTCTTCATCACTCTCCTGACGTTTCCTTTTCATTGAGGGTGTTTTGGGAAGAAGAATGTTGCTGTCACGCCTAAGGAAAACACAAAATGTCTGACACCTACAAGAACAACTGGGTATACTAACACCGGTACATGTTATTTACTTCAAGTTTGAGAGTTATAATGTGAGAAAAGTAGCTCTACCCAGATTTATAAACTAGCTGCATGCTAAAAACCTCCCAGAAACAAAGCTAAGCATGCTTATTCACAAAGCAAGCCTTGTGATGTTCCCAAACTCACAAGACATGGCTCTCAAACTTTTACATAATATCAGACCTTAAATATCAATACCCACACAGCCAGTAGATTTATCTGAGCTGGAAAAAGTAACTAGTTCCAAACAACAATGATATGATTATATTATGCAGTTCACGAAAATAAGTCAAGCTTCAGATTAAGCTCTTAGAGGCTATTTAAAGTCTTACCGGCCAAAATGTTGTTTTGCTTCAGATAATATCTCATGTAGGTAGTTAAAGTCATCCTTGATTTCTTTTTCGAACTTAGCTATCGCCTCTTCGGCTCGAAGATGCAGAGAAAACCCGAGCGCTGTTCCCTCCTTCGAGTTGCTTGTGACGGCCATCTTGAATCAAAGCAGACTTGCGTATGACGACTTCAATCTGCTCTCTCGACTCTCGGAAATATTTTTTTCAATTGAACATTTTCTTTAAGTTAACACTTAGATTACTTAATCTGGTAAAATACACTCACTTTCTGGTCTATTAAATAAAAAAATATCTGCAAACAAACCGCACTGAAATTAGAGAAATTCCATCGCTCTGTTCGAATTTTGAATTTACCGACATGCGTAAATAACCAATCATGTTCATTTCTCGCCATTTCTGAGCCCACGGTTCACACGCAACGCTGAATTTTAAACGATGCGCGAAATTATGCAAACGAGTGTTGTTTTTGTTGGAGACTTCTTTCAGGAAGGAGGGAGTTATCTCCTCTACTAAGAAAATATTTCTTTGTATTGATTTAGCAGTAATTACGCTAATGACTTAACGCATTAGTTTACCTTTGTTGAAAGGAGGATCTTTGGAATTATTCCAGACGAGGACGGCAGAAACACAACATAAAGCTCAACTTAATCATTTCACGTGCTTTGAAGTTTGAAGTAACTCGCGTCTTGGAAATTTGAATATGCCGGGGATTGTTGTCTTTAAACGTCGGTGGATGGTCGCAAGTGATGATTTAGTCATTCCGTTTGGAATTGCGTTTGTTTTCAGGGGACTGTGGTGAGTGAGCAAATATATGTCATTTTGTGAACTCCTTACCTAATCTAATCGACTAATTTTCCATGTAGTATTTAGCTTTATTTAATAGCTCGCGTAACCGTGTTTTAACCGGAATACTTAAGTATGTTACAGCTTAAAACTTTTATTGCAGATAAAGATATTGAATCGAGCATTAGTTAAAATTGCTGTCGGAAGGCTCAACATCCGTTTTTCGTTGCGAAGAAAATTGACAAAACACGCGAAATAGAATTCGTTATTGTTTTGTTGGCACTGCACGTTTTGTTTCATTGTAGCAATGAAAGAAGTTTATTTGTTCGATTCGTCGCACATTTTATCTACTTGTTGTTCTCTACCGTATCATTTACCTTGCTTGGAGTCATTCCAGTCTCTCGTTTATTTTTCTCACCACCCGATTTGTTGATTTGATTTTACGTTTCAGTGTTACAAATATCGTAGGTTGATCAAAGTCACACATACCGCATCGCCAAAATTCCTAAGGAGCCAAAATCTTCTTCGAGAACGCCGATTCATTTCTGTACTTTTTAAAGCGTTTCAAATCGTAGTAACAGTTTAACAATGTCACTGATCTTCCATGAAATAGTTGTAGACATAATGTAATTTGCCGAAATGTGAGTGATATTTTAAAGTTACCAAGCGCAATATAACAGAACTAGGACCCGCATTGTTGCTGGTGCGAAAACATGTCATGAATTTATTTCGAGATCGAAGTATCCTTTTGCAGGCATTTTAAAATAAGTGCAACAAGGCTATTCCAAAATGGCTGAAATTACAGGGGCACACACAGAGCATTTGTTACAAATGCCTGTATTTTCTAAAAAGAGAGATGATGAATGAAGGAGGTGTCTGTGATGTTTTGGTTTCTAGACATCTGGAAGATATACGAGCTAAGTCTTCAACTTGATTAGCGGAGCAAGAAGAGTGAGAGCATTCACAAAGTTACAAATAGCGAGATCATGGACGATTTATTTTTACTAACAAAATTAATTTTTATGGCAGTGCAAAGGTCTGTTACTTTTTTTTCAATTTAATTTATTCCATAAGTGCTTACTCAAGCATTGCCAAATATGTCAATGTTTACAATAATGTGAAGAAATAAGCTTCTTTGCTCTTGCAGTTTCACAGCTTCTATCACCAGCTACTCAAGAAATCCCTCTCTTTTGGCTCATTTATTGTACTAGTGTTCAACTCACGTTAAAATAATTTTGAGTCCGATATCTCTCCTTGCATATTTAACACAAAAAATAACAAAATTGAAAAATACAAAAAATTATCAATGTGAAGAATGTGAAGGCTGTCTCACAGGCGTTTTCTGCTGTCTGCCTTCTGTCATTCAAAGTGCTAGCTATGAAAATCTGTTTGATGTGTTGTGAGTTTACAATGTTCCTGGTTGTTTAAACAAACTGTAGATGAGTCAATCAAGTATCTACTATCCTGCAATATTTTTTAGGCAATTAACCACATATTGCACTGACCTTTATGAAGCATAAATTCTATGTGTTGTCATGTAAGCATTTTTTTGCCCTGAGGCCACGGCATTTTCTAGATGGTTGATGCCTCACATTTAATACATCTATTACACACAATCGCCCATCTTTTCTGTTTTAGTTGTGCTGTTCAAAGAAAGGATCTTGACTGAGTTCCTGCAGATAGAGTAAATATTTTGACATCATCATTGCTTATAAGAGAGCTAATGATAACATTTTTATGGCAAAAGAGCCCAATTTACATAAGAAGAAACTGTGCACAAATCAATAGGATAGATATAGGATGTGTTTAATCAACTACCCCGGTATATTACAGAGGAAGATTATATTATTTTAAAGGTGCCTTTACAAGGTAAATGCTTTCTATTGGATTTTGGAGCCATTAGAATGCCATTCAATTTTGTTCCATCTGGACTACAATGTGGTTGTGTTATCAGGCATTGGTTAAAAATAAGATCACGCATATCCATTTTGAAGATCTGACCAAATGTTTTATAAGTTGGTTAAATTAAAACTGCCCAAACTCTGTCTTCCCACGCATAAAAAACGTTGAAATTTGTTGGATCTATTTTAAGGTAGTGGTTTTGATCATGTGATTTTGTAACAGTTATAAATTTCATGGCTGTCCCATTAGTTTAAGGATTATTATCTTTTCATATCTACAAAGGTTTTGCAATAATTTGCTTAACACCATGGATTACAAACCACTCATCAATTTTCATTTCCATTATTTTTGTAGAAATTCTTTGATTTGAATTTGTTTTAATTTTTATGCTGAGTCTTAAATTTTAATTCAGTTTGAAAGTTTTCAGTCCAAACTATTTTTACTGAATTGGAGTCTGACATGGAACTAAAAATTGTGTTGGCTTGTACACATTTTCAAAGCAGAAAAAAAAAGTTTTAACCACAACCTGCATGTACTTGGTATGATCTCAATTGACAACTAAATTATACAGTTAACATCTGCCAGTAAAATAAGTATGCTTAATAAAGAAAGTTATTTAGGAAGTGGACATGAAAACAGCGTAACTCATTTAGAATTTGCTTGGTCCAATAACAGAAATTATTATTTAAGATGATCATAGCTTGTACATGTCTTTATTTTAAGAATAATGGAGAGAGTTTTTTGTTTTTTTTCAGGGGGGGTGGTATTATTTTAACTGCTTAAAATACTGTGGCTTCTAAACCTCAGAATTGTTGAAATTAACAATGTTCCCTTGAAGTCCATGAAATTTACACCTGAAAGTTGTTTTATTCGGATTTTATTAAGTGCAAACTTGGGCTTGTGTGCTAAAGCATGTGCATACAGATATGATTTATGATTTCTTTCTTTCTTAGTATCTTTCATCAAAGTTGTGGTTTGCAAATGATGTAAATATACAGTTGATTTATTATCTTCATAAATTGAAATATTCTAATAGGAAAGCTGTTGGAAATGTTTGCCCTTTCCTTAGACAAAACATACTTTAAATCTTAGGAAATTATGATATAATGTAACTCCCAGTGTCTGTTTTAAATCGCCTAAAGTAATTCAATGAGTTTTGTCCATCATAGGTGGACATCATTCAGCCTATTTTCATGAAAAACACATCTCATTATTCGCCTTAGCTTATTATTAATTTATGAAGAGGAGAAAACTATGGCAAACTGTTTTTTCTTAGTTCCTTCAAATCACCAAGCATCTACTAAATTTTTCCATGTCCTTTATTCTCAGCAGAGAAATGCTAGGTCTTAAATTATACTGTTGCTTGTAATGTTTTGTGGTGTATTGTAGTGTGATGAAATAAAGGTTTTGGTTAAAATGGTCTTAGTTTGATTATAAATTTCTCTGTTTGTTATTGAAAGTGAAATTAACATGGAAGAGGATTAAAAGTTAAATCAAACTAGCTTGAAAAATTTTATTCTGAATTTCTTTTTAAACTACAACAAAAGTAAAAACATACACTTGGTCTAATTGTTGAACCATCTCATCAGTAACATAAACATATTATTATTTTTAGTCATCACAGGGCACATTACTGCTGATTCTGGGATTTTTAAACCCTTAACCTTCAAATAAATGTGGGTTAAATGCTCTGGTTAACCACTTCCAAAACTATGAACTTGCTTAGTTTCAAAAGAAACTGAGACCACACGTATCTAGATATTTTTGAAAATGGAGATTTTTTTCCCACTGTTTTAAAAAAAATATGCATCCACAGGTAGCGTATTCGAATCGTTTTCGCTTATCTATACGAAAACGCTAAACAATGGAAAAAAAATAGCATCCCTCACAGAGCATGCATTACACTAATAGTAAATGATGTATTACATCATTGTATTCAAAAACCTCCATTTTCATCCATCTACACGTAACTGAGTGGCCGGCATTTTCAAAGGTCTTCACTCTGCAGAGCGTCTTTGTAAAGATGCATTTTTGGTGACCATTTTCACTGAAGACTTGTGGGCAGTAAGCCAAACTGGAGAAAAAAAATCTATGTTTTCAAACAAAAAGGGAGTTGTGTGGAAGGGCCCTGAGTTGTTACATGTATGTGAGTGGGGGAGTGAACTACCAAAATTTTGTTTTATATGAAATTGAGTTGCGAAAAGTCAGTTTACCTTGGTGGACTGTAAAAGAGTTGAAAGTAGATGTCTTGCGCACTAGCCTTTCATTTCAGTGAATAAAGAAATATCCCTAAAGGTGGTCAGTTTCTCTGCCAGGGACATCAAAGAAGATGCTAAAAATGTCAATTTGTAGCCTGAGGAACAGCCGAGATTTTGCATCTCTACCACTAGCAGTTTCCCCACAAAATGTCTTCTGGAAAGACTGTAGAACAGGGCTGTCATCAAGAGCCGGATCCAGGGATTTTCCCCGGCTGATATGAATGTGGCCTCCGGCTACTTTCACTGGAAAATAGAAAAAAAAATAGAACAAATAGAATTCGCTGACTGTTTGATTCCCTCCCTACTTGTTGTATTTACCCGACAACTTGAAATCTTAGTGACAACCCTGGTAGAAATTCCATTCCTCGGCAGTGTTCTCCTTATCAATGATAATTAGCAGTACTGTACATGCTACTTAATCATCGATTTTCCCTTTTTTTATTTCAGGATGGTAATATTATCAGTAGTATTGGGGATATATCATGGCTTCTACCATGTTCATCATGTTAGGGAACAGGATAAACATGTTTGTGAGCAGACATTAGACTATTTTATGGGTGGCTACCTAGTACTTCTTTTTGCGACAAATGTCATGGAACTAACAGTCGCTTGGATGAGTGGAAAAGGTTCAATCATGGATACAGAACCTCGGAATCTCATACCACATCTTCTCTATGTTCGTCTTGCTCTTTCCATTATTGAATTATTATGGCTGTCCATTGGAATTAAATGGATATTTTTTGATGCTATGACATGTCATGAAACAACAGAAATTTACATTGCTAGAGCAATTGTGGTATTCAATTGGCTTTTTCTGTTTACTGTCATTATCATCATATATTGTTCCTTTGATTCTGCCGGGAGAACTTGGGTTTATTTCCGAGATGCACAGCTGGGCGACAGCGTTGATGCATCACAAGGTTTCAGCAGGCACATTACTCACAACTATGAAAAGCGCTGGGAGGGATGCTTCAAGAAATTTTGTTGCTGTTCTGGCGTGGGGAGACAGGGAGATGAAAATGTATTCACATTCATTGGAAGGTACAGTATTGATATTTGGTTTAAATCTACTAATAATTTTAACAGGTACATGAGGGGGACATGGGGGTTTACGGTATTGCGGTATTGGGCTTTTTTTCATGCGGTATTTCGGTAATTTTAATTTTAACGTGCGGTATTGCGGTATCATCTAGCTCTGCGGTATGCGGTTTTTCATCATTTTGGCTGACGGTATTCGGTGAAATAAGATCGTTCACGGTATTACGGTACCGTTTATTTGCGCTTTCTTTTCGATACAATACGCAAAACAAAACACAGTAGGACATAAAGGTCAATAAAAGTTAATGTTTAGAAGTCTTGAGACATAACGGTAAATGATTAAACCATTGTGGGTCATTTTGTGACAGTTAATGGTCGATAATACACAATGTGATTGCCTCAAGTTACCTTACCAGGCTTTTCGATCTGTGTACGTGTGCCAGTCTGCTACTCAGCCGTTTTTAGTGTCGTCACGCAACGTTCCTCCCCACTGGGGAGACAGTCGAGATAGTTGACCCCTGAGATACTGACATACTAGACTATAGACTCATCCAAACTCGTACGAGACGTGCGTGGAAAGGGTTTTGGTTGGTTTGTTTTTTGTTTTTTTTTTTTGCGCTTTCAAGAATTATTTTTATTGGAGTTAGTTAGCTGTTGGGTCGACCTACCAAAAGGTTCTTTTCAGTGAAAATTTGCCAAAAATTTGCCATCTACCAAAATATTAAAAAAACATCGACATCTGGTGCATAAATGCCTGAGATAATTAAACGCGCTAGATGGAAGCACCCATAAGTATGCGCAACCGATTATGAATGTGATTAAAATATGCGGTATCGGTATTTAGACGATTTTCGACGCGGTATTTTGGTATTTGCCATTTTTTCTTATGGTATTGCAGTATTGGGTACCCCCCAATGTCCCCCTCGTACATGTACGCCACTCCTCTGTAACTGCAAGTAATACTGCAGAAGGCAGCTTTGTCAAGTGATTAGAGTTCTGGAATTGTAATCTGAAGGCCCCTAGTTCAATCCTTGCCATTATCGCCAGCTGGATTTTTATTTTGTTGTCAGTTGTCCTAAATTCAACTACTCAGTCATGCTTATATACATTGTAAATAGCCAGTAATTGGCTATTATTTCTCTGGCCAGTTGAGATTCCACAGTGTGGGCTACTATGAAAGCTACGGGTTTACCAGTAATTATTGTATTACCCATATAAAGTCAGTTTTCTTTAAATAAACACTCTAAATTATATAAATGGTCCTCATAGTGGAGCTTGCTCTGTGAGTGATCCAGGCCTTTTGGCGAAGTTTATAAATAAATAATTAATAAATAAATTACTGTTGGATAGGGTTCAGCAGAATAGGATGTACTATGTTTTGTCATTGGCAAGCAGAGTTCTGAATTATCTTTATTACTACAAAAAAATGCTTGAATCACAGAGCCTTACAAAGCAGAGGCTAAGGGCTAGAAGTAGGCAGAAAGGAAAAGAAGCCAATGGGGAAAAGAAAATATATGAGGAAAAAACAGCAAATAAGCAAACAACAATGAAAAAAAAAATAAAGGAAAAATAAAAGAGAATTTCATCAGGAATCGAACCCCACATGTCCTGTTCGGCACGATACAACTTGTTTGCAAAGTAGGCCTGTTTTCTTACCTTGATTTCCGCCGTTATTTTGAAGTTAATGGTCCAAATCACATCTATTTTCTATTAAAGGTACTTCTACCTTTGAAATTTATCGCTAAAAGCATTTCTTGACTTCTTAAATGGCTGCTAAAACAACCAGGCCAGGTTTATGGCGGTTTTGTTTACCTGCTACCTTGTTGCTAGACAACTGCGTTCGCCCAAACCGATAGAAAGAGATATATATTTATGACCAAAGGAAGATCACACTTCACTTGGCGATCCTCGTGTGCATTGTGTGCGTTGCGCACATGATTAATTAATAAACCTTCACCCCGCTTGGGCGTAATGATGAATTATACATTGTATTCACCTTCTGTGTTCTCATTGGCTAAGAGCTTACAGTTAATTTTGGAAATCATTGTAGGCTATAGATTAGCTAGTTATCTGCTTGCAGGTAATTGACTAATCTGTAAGTTTGTAGGTTTGTAATTTTTTGGGAAAAGCCAGAGCCTTGCACTTGCACAATGCAGGATGAATCTGCGTAGTAAATGGAGAATTCTCCAATTTCCAATGCCTAAATGAACATCCTGCATTGTGCAAGTGAAACATACCATAAGGGTAGATTTTCACTTGCGGGAGATTTTGTACATAGTAACAATAATAATGGAAACTTTATTTGTGTTTTTAAATGTACAATTATTGTAAATCTCGCTACGTATAGGCAATTTACAAATGCTGCTTGAGATTGGATTATTTATAAAAAAGAAAAAACAAAAAAATAAAATTGCATTAAGTCTGGGTTATCCCAGTTCCTATTTCTACAACAAAAGATATAATATGTTGCTCTAATGGCTATATTTATCATTTTCTTGATTATATAACGTTGCTGCTTTTTGTCAATCCCAATGTCATTCATCATGTCGAAGAACGTGGAGCATTCATCAGAGAAAACACCAAGGGAATTCATGGAGAGATTTACAAATCTCACACATCTGTAATTTCTGCTCATTTCGTTGATCAAGTTCAGATATTTTTCTTTCTTACACACTGCATTGTTGTTAAGGTTAGACTCGAAACCAACTGTTAATTCTAGAACATATAGGCACTTGGAGTGGATTAGGAAAAGAAGATCTGGACGATAATTATCACCAGTTATTGTTGAGGGATTCAGAAAACCATTAACATCTGCATAGAGTGAAGAGTGAACATTAATTACAGGTTGAAGTGACTTGGCAATGAAGTTAAGGATTAATAATAATAATAATAATAATAAACTTTATTTATATGGCGCTATTTCCATATGCTCAATAGCGCTTTATAGAATTCATAAAAAGAAAAAAAATAATAAATTAAAAACTAACATTAAATGATGATAAACAGAACACCTGAGGAATAACATAAGTTACGATAAAAATCCCATTTATAAATTCTAAGCTGCAATTAAAAACTAAATCCCTAAAACTTCAAACGATAACATCTGAAAGATGTATGATTTGATATTCTATAATAATTACATGCCTACGCATAGAAATTTAACCCATGTAAATAAAATAGGGGCAGTGTATAGAGGGTTGTGCATAAATATAAAAGTTATCATGAAACTCAAGCATCTTTTATATTTATGCCAGCCTTTCATACACTGTCTCTATTTTATTAATGTATGAAATCCACCCTTACACAGGGACTACTGGCCAGCATAATTTTGAGTTTAACCTTGCCTAAGGTATACCCAGCCCAATCAAAAGAGAGTTACTCTGTACTTTCAAATATAGAGATAAAATAATGAATAGGAAGTTCACAAAACATTTTTGTGTGGTTTAGGACGCTAGCAGAGTATTTTCAAGATATGGATGTTGTACCATCTGACTTTGCTGCGGGACTTGTTTTACTAAGAAAATATCAAAAATACCAGGAACATGTTGCTCTGCTGAGGGCAATAGAAGAACAGCAAGTGCCTGATTCTCAGGTTAGTACAATGTTGGCTAGGAACTGCTATTTCTCCGTATGTAACAACCTCTTAAACCATGATTTTCTGAAACGAAAGCCAAAAATAGTTATTATGGACACCACTGACAATCAAATATGTGTATTTTATTTTCTCCAGTTTAGTACAATGTTATATCAATTAATAAAGATTTTATAAAGGAACCTGTTACTCGAGAAGATAACAAATATTGTGCCCCTTGATACCACATTCGTTATTATGGTAAAGGGAAAAAAATAGTAAAATGATTCTATAACTTCAACGAAGAAGACACTCTGATAGTGTGAATCCTGCTCTTGACTTTTCTGCTATTACACGCTAGCTGCAGCTTGCCCAGGTAAGCTGTAAACCTTACTGCCTTTGCACCCTGTCTTACTAAGTTAAATGTTGTTATTTTTACAGAAAGGTGTGAAGAAATCATCCTTAAGATTTCAAAGAACTGATAGTGCAAAGACTCTGAACCTTAAAGACAAGGTAAAAGTCTCGTATCATGTCTTAAAATGTTGGATTTTTGTGATGCTTACTATTGTAAGTGCTTGGTATAATGATCTACAAATCTGTGCACTGAAGCCAATTTAATAATGGCCAATAAAGTTGTTAAAGTAAGCTTTGGCTGGGGGTTGAAACACTTGTGGGAGACCTCTAGATGAGGGAAATAAGCTCACTTTAAGGTGGCTGAGCACAGTTTTGGCAGTTTGTGAGTATATGTCCAGGGGTTTCAATAAGTTTTTGCATAAGTGGGTACTTAAGAGTAACAGGCGGGTATATTTGCCGAAGGCCCCAAGGGCCTTCGACCCTAGGGGGGTCCGAGGGCATGCTCCCCCGGAAAATTTTGAAGTTCTAGACTATCGCAGATGCATTTTCAGGTCTTTTTTTGTTGCTTTGTTTTTACATTTTTTTGCTCCTAAGTCAACTAATTTAAACAAATTTGAAGAGAATTATGTTACAATGAAGTAGTCATAGTCAAAACCTATTTTGCCAAATTTTTGGGCAAGAATTCGAAGCTGAGATGAAATTATCTGGTCTTAGTTGACGTTCATGTGAAGGCTCCAAGCAGGTAATCAGCCCGTTGCAAGCGGGTAGATCTACCCGCTACCCGGCTACTATTGAAACCCCTGATGTCACTTGCAAATCATGGCAAGGGGAAGGTTGCAGCTCACAAGCTGAAAAAACTTGGCAAGTGAAAATATACTGATGAAGGATTTTGATTGACAGGTAAAATTTGATGTTTTTGTAGTTTCCATGGCAACGTGAACAATTGAATACAACCTTAAAATTTCGCTTTTACTTAGTTTACATAAAATTTGCTCATTAGATTTTCCTATAAACTTGCACATAGCTTACTATAATTAATCATTACCATTTGAAACTTATTTGACCAAATTTTAACAGACAGGTTTTTAGATAATCAATAATATAATAAATATATTGTACTGTGATTATTAAATGTGTCACAAAATTTGTCCGTTCAACTTCCATTTTAAGGTTCTCATTATTTAAAATACGATAAAGGTAAAAATTCTGCCAAATAGCACAAAATTTTAATGAGTAGATTTTGAGATATCTTCTGTCTACCATTGCTTTTTCGGCAACATGTTTGTTTGTCTAATTTAAAACACGCGCCGTCACGCGAGTTACCGCTGACGGCCCACAAAACTGTGTTCAGCAACCGTAATAAATCATCGCCACATTACTTAATGCTAATCTTAATAACAAATACAACAATTTATGCTTTGGCACTCGTCACAGGGGTGACCTTGTTTTTAATCAGCTTTTTTGCTTTGTTATGTAAAACATGTTGTTTTAATGCTAACCAGTTCTTTGCTGTACAAGCCGTTAATTGTTATAAGTTGTAGTTTTTGAGGTCTTCACCATCTTTCAATACTTGCAAAAATTAGAATGAACTAAAAATAAAAACTCAACGTAAGCAATACTGTTTTAGAGTAGCTGTAAGCTACATTTCTCCCTTAGCTCCCCATAACAGCCATCCCATCTAAAAGGCTTCAACTCGACTGCAAAATACAGCCTCCAATTTTTTTTGTGCAATTAGATATGCACAAAATGAAGTAAGAATGAAGTCGATAATTTCTACAAGAAAAGCTTGAATTCTTTTGGAGGCATAAGTGTTCTAATTTAAGGGCACACAATTTTCAATGGTCTATTTCTTTGACTGTTATCATTGTTTCTTAACTTTAGAGAGAGTTGCTTCTTTTCAAGGACATAGTGTATTACATGAATTATGCATTGTCTGCTTACGGCTGGCTTATCTACATGAAGAACAACGTTGGTTGTGGGTGTTGTAAGCTCTTGAGAAACGTCAGGTAATGAAAATACTATGACTAGAATCGAACTTTTGAGTTTGTGCTAATGCGTCAGTTGTTTGAACTATCTATTATATAAGAGTACATGTATGTAGAAAAGTAGTGGTCCTGAGAGAGAGGAAAAATTAATAACAACATTTGCTAAGCCTAGAATTTACAAATATTTTGTCAGAAGGTCTGGCACTTTTGTAGAAAATCTGATAGAAGAAAGATTGACAGACTCCAGGGAAGAGAGAGAGAGGGAGAAAGCATGCAAAGATCAGTCTGTTGTGATATAAATAGTGCATACGATGAACTTCTTGTAAGGGCTAAATTCCTTTGTCTCTTTTCTGTTCAGTGGATTTTTATCTAACTTACATGTGCATGATGCATTTTCTTGTCTCGTACAGATGCTGTTATCGGTGCCGCTCTCCAGACCGTAGATCACACAAGTTTGTTGATGTTGAAAGTGACAACTGTTGTCGTTGTAACTACTCAGCAATGAAGAGGATCGCTGGAATTCACAACCGAGATACCATTTATGTTAGTTACCACAACAAGGTACGTTACATTTCATAAGTGATATTCCTGAACAAGAGGGGTTCATTTTGCTGTCTTGCTGTTAATTTTGGAGCGCTGATTTCATCAAACTGCAGTAGCGCGCGTTGCGAGCGTTTCCGCGCGAGTTCGTCGCAAAAGTTGAAACAAGAGCAAAAAGAGGAATGAAGGGGGAAGGGTGGGGCAAAAAAATTATTCTCCTCTCCCCCTTCTTCCTTTTTTATTAACCTCGCTTAAACTTTCGTGCAGTAACTCGAACGGAAACGCTTGTTATGCAGCCTGATCAATGTGGCAATGTGGGCACCGGTAATCGTCAATGTCGATGACTGAGTTTGAAAGGCCACTTTCTTATTTTCACGTTTAACAAAAACTGGAGAAGGGTTTGGAAGGTGATGTTGTACCCACAAACCAACCGTAACAATCACACAGAAACATGTGACACGTTTGTAAAGTATTAGGTAAAACAGCCCTTTAAAGTTTCAGTGTCTCGCTGTTTTTGCTGAGATAGAATCGTAATTGTCTCGATGGTGTAGATTGCAAAGTTGTACCGAGTTTTTTTCTTATAATCCTCGAATAAAGGCCGCATTCTTCTGATCGGGTGCGGTGTTTATTCGAGAGCGGCATTTATTGGTAATTTTGCTTCCATCTGTGGCGTTATTTTTTTGTTTGTGTGTGTTGCAGTTAATTTTTTAACTCAGTTTATTTTTTGGTATGGTAATGTATGCTAATGAATTTTAAACAAAGGAAAGACAAAAATTAACTGCAACAAGTATTTTTCTGTTAGTTATTTCAGACGCCATTCTTTGTTTGTGTGGATCATGATAAAAAAGCAGTTGTGGTGACCATCAGAGGAACGTTGTCCCTTCAGGTAAAAAAATAGGGGTCAATCAGTCTCTTCAACATTTGTTCATGCAGTCTATCCGCATGTACTGTAGTACTGAAAAACCTGCAGATCCGATGTAATTCATTTTTGTTGAATGAATTCATGTTGCAGGACATCCTAACTGATTTTTCAGTGGAAGCGGAGGAGATTCCACTGGATGATGGCAATCCCAATGAGTGGTTTGGACACAAGGTACATGTACAAAAATACATGGTTTGGAACTCTAATAAATTACTTGAATAACGATTTAGAGCTAGCACATCCACTTAGTGGTTCTTTATTAACCTGATTACCCGTCGAATTGAAACTTTGAAATGTTGGTTTTTGAAGAGAGGACAAAACTGGAGTAGCCCGGAGAAAAACCTCTCAGAGCAAAGAAGAGAACCAACAACAAACTCAACCCACATTGTGGCATCGACACCGGGATTTGAACCCGGGGCACATTGGTGGGAGGCGGGTGCTCTCACCACTGCGGCGCCAGCCTTGCATGTTCCATTTCTGTAGAGTAAGGGAAAGGTAGACACTATTTGTGCGCAGTGCGGGAGCTTAATTTGGGTTCTTAGCGTGATAAGGCATCTTAGTGCATTTCTATTCCGCCGCTCTTTCCCCTACATCCACCCCCACCCCTTCCCCGTTTTTTTAAAGTTAAATTCTTGTCCCAGCTGTTAAAAGTACTCGAGTACTATCCACTGGATAACTCACTGTCCGTTAAATAAGGTGTGAATTTACTGCGACCATGTCCGTCGTTCTGGAAGAAACCAAGCCTGAGAGCATGTTCTCCATTGGCGGAATATCGTTTAAGTCACGCGCGAGCGGCGCTCGAAAGGAGACGCGCGATCATGGGACGGGAAAGGAAGAAGAGCTTCCTTAAATAGCTTTCTTTACTCTGCCTCTCGCGGCTTTACCGCTCCCTCGCGCGATCATAGTGAGGTTGATCTCAGGGTAGAAGATTATCCTTGAACGGTATCACGGAGAGCTTAGCCGAAGGTGGATTAACGAGTATAGGAAACACAGAGAGAGCAAGAAAAAATCCGTTGGAGTCATGGAATACTGGGTTGAAAAACATCTCCCTTAAGCAGGCTCTGACTATTATCTTTTATCATTCCAGGGCATGATAAAGGCTGCTTTATTTATTAAGAAGAAGCTGGATAGCGGAATTCTTACTAAAGCATTCCATTCTGATCCGGTCGGTAGTTTACTTTATTAAATTTGTCTAAAGTTTGCAACGTGATTATATAGTTGCTGCTTGGTAGTGGAAAGGAGAAGGAGAAATACTTACTGCGAGCGTCACGTCTTTGGTGTTTGCATGTTTTTATAGAGTCCGTTGTTAAAATATACTTGATATAATCCGGTAACTTATTTGACTTGTCAAGGTGGATTTTCCACCTGTCGCATGATTTTTATACGTGCGTACACACGTAAATACCCTTGGTGTCAGAGACAAACCGCACGCGAGAAAAAACCTCTGGTATCCCGGGCCCGATTCCTGAAAGGCCGATAAGCGTTAATCCAGGATTAAAATTTTTGTTCCGTTTTTGTACTTTACCTTCCTGTGCATTGCTTAGGGTAACATTTTATGTTATCATTACTGTATCTCGTAGTAAAGGCTCAACAGTATTTTGTGACCTGGCGTTGCATGTTCTTGCTTGAAATTTGGCTTAATCCCGGGCTAAACTTAACCATCTTTCGAACAATCGGGCTCAGACTAGCGGGTAAATTTTGCGCGCGTAAATAAAATAGAAGCAATGAATGAAGTGTCGCGCATAAACATAAAAATTGAGCGAGGTTTAACTTTTACGTTTACGCTGGACCTTTCATCCACTATTTTACTTACGCGCGCAAAACTTACGCGACAGTGGAAATCCATCCTTACCTCAACAATAGCCAACATAACAGGCGCTTTATAAGCCAAGCAAGGGGAACACGACATTTTGCGCGAAGCGCGAGTGGAGCGCGAATCGCATGACTAGAGGAGGAGAAAACGCACTTCGCGCTCGTTTCGCGCTTCGCGCTCGTTTCGCGCTTCGGGCAAAATCCCGCGTTTGTCTTGCTTGGCTCTTAAAGCGTCTGTTATGCAGGCTAGCTCAGCAATGTATGGCTTGGGTCTATATATTTGATGGTTCGCTTAACTCGTTTGATTAGTCCTTTTTAACGTAGTTTAGCCATTTTTTTTGTTGTTGTACTTCTTAACAGGATAGACAGACAGAATCGTACCGTCTGATTCTTGTTGGTCATTCTCTTGGTGCTGGAACAGCAGCTATCTTGGCCATGCTTCTCCGTCCATATTACCCTGGTGTCTTTTGTTATGCCTTCTCACCGCCTGGAGCTACTCTCAGGTACAGACCTTTCTAATCATTATACGTTTCTGGGAAAACTGCCCACCTACCCCTCCCCAAAGCCAACATTTTGCCCTAAGTGAGAAGTAAGTGTTAATGTTGACTTGGGGAAGGGATAGGTGGGTAGTTTCCCAGAAACGTATGATGATCGACCTTTGTTGCCTTGTGTTGGTCGAGACTGGGCATTGCGACCTTTAGATCAGGGTTTTTAAGCAACGACGACGGCGACGTCAACGAGAACGGCAAAAAACGCAAAAGATTGAATAAGCAAAACACCAACTTTAGTCTGCACGTGCATCACACTTTTTTATACATTTCTTTGCTGTTTTTGCACGACTACGACTAATTTCGACTAATTTTGTGGGGAAACGTAAGCAAGCAACGACGAAATTTTGTTTCTGTTTCTGAACTTGGATATGTTCCCTTGGAATTCAACTTCAGGAGAGTTCGCCAACTTTTGACAAAGTAAGTGAGTAAGAATAATTGCGATAAAGACTGAAAGAACGCAAATTCACTTTTTGAGCGACGTTCTCGTTGCTCTTGCGTCGTTGGACCCTATGTCCCTATTTTGGCGGGAAAACGCGCTAGCCGTCGTCATTCCACTACGAGTCTTAGGGTCTTAATGACGGAATTAAGTTATAAAATGTTAGAAGTTTTATCATTTTGCGATCGAGAGAGGGCTTAACTTCTTTCAGTAGAAATAGCCGTTTTAATCTTTCTGGTGAAAGGAAGTAAAATAAAGCTTTCCGAAATGTCTATTTTTTGAGAATTTTGAAAAAAAAAAGAAATGAAGTCAAATCTCGTTCCCGAAGTCGTCCCTGTCCTCGAATCTAAAAATCTCTAATATTCGTAGTCTGTACACCGTGTTTACTCTAATTAGCCACCTTCCTTCTTATAAGCCCATATACATATAAACTGCTAACAGCCCCTGTAAAGTTCATGTAAAGAACTCAACTATCGATATTATCTGTGATTGTAACCTCCAAATTTCACTGTACATTTGTTCTTGTTTTTATCAAGGATCAAAACTCACATTTTTTTCCTTTTCCCCAGCCTTTCTGCAGCAAAATATGTCCGCGACTTTGTTTATTCTATTGTTGTTGGAAAAGACATGATTCCAAGGTATTTTAATCATGACTTTTTTTCTGATTCATTTGTACATCACTGTTGTGCCCCGCTATCTCGAACTAATTTTTGTCCTCCAAAAGAGTTCCAGACACTGTACCACCTACTTATGACATGATTCCTGCGTTCGAACCATTTATAACGTTCTCTTCCTTATGAATTATGCAAGTAACTTTATTCTGTGCCTTCAGGTTAAGTCTCTACACTCTTGAAGACCTCCGCAACAAGATTATGGCGGTTATATCTTATTCCAATACTCCGAAGGTGAGTCAATCGTGAAATTTCACTATTAAAGATATTCAAAAAGTCGGTGCCTTTGTATTCATTTTCACCAACTCTCTGGAGTTGAGGATATTTTTTCATTAAGCCAACGAAAAAAATTCTCCTGAGTCTTGTTTGAAAGGCCCAGTTGTGGTGACATCATGTAAAAATACAAATGAAGTAACGTTTCTTAAGTGTACGTGTCATGCAGCCTCGTACCAGGCCAGTTCACACTATGCGAGTGAGCAGAGCAGGCTTGGAACCGGATCCGATAGTGCGTGGTGTCCTCTGCTACACACCGCAGTCAAACGTCTGAACATGACCCAAGCTAAGTCCTAGGCGGCTTGACAGGTGACGTCATCCAACCCGCCGAGGACGACTGGGAACGTGGCTGTATGTCATTGTCTGTTAGAGCCATTAACCGAACGTTTTTCAGCTTTCTTGTTGCAAAATCTTACGGTACTTTCTCAGGCAGTCAATCAAAATAAAAACTGAACCAATCGTGACAGCTGCGTGCTTACATTAATGTTATTGATTTGCTTGAAAATCTCACTCATATTCGGATTTGTGTTGCCAGCTGCATTTGTCACTCACCCTTTAGTCGGCGACTAAAGGGTAATTTTTTGTCGCTGCTGTCTCACTAAATTAGACCTCTTTATTCCAGTTGTGATATACTAGCTTTGTTTCTGTTACCGCAATGTACGTTATTCTTGAACACTTGTAAGTAAATCATCGTAGAAAAAAATAACGGGTCTAGCCTGAGAAAACAACCGACATTTCGCGAAGCCATCAATAGTTTCCCTGCAAAATGACGTCTGAAAAACGAGTGCAGAAATTCCATACTGATGACGCGTCACTACCCAGGTCTGGTAAGTTCTTTTTTTTTTTTTTTTTTTATTTTTTTTTTTTTTTTTTTTTTTTTTTTTTTTTTTTTTTTTTATTTACCGCCTGCGAAATCTGTGCTTACTTCAAAAACCGTAATCAGTAGCACCACTTAGGTCTGGTTAGTAACACGTTGTCAACAGAAAAGTATAAGAGGATTTATATAGATTAAGTATAAGTTTTTTCGTTTTATTTAGAAGGATAAGTAAAAAGAACGAGTTAAGGACCTTGTACTGAAAGGCCTTAACATAGAATTCAGAGCATATGATGTGCGGTAAAAGAAATGCTTTTTCTAGCTGATCTTCCGTCAGATTAAAATCCCGTTTTAAAGCTGAGGTATTTTTAGAAAGCTGTGCCTTTTTACTTATGAGCAATGAATAATAATCTTTTGATTTCTTCTTTAAAATATCAAAGTCGTTATTCTTAATTATCACGGAGGGTGGCATTGTTAAAAGGTGTGATCAGATGTTCTAGGATTAGCTTTTAAGTGGGACGGTACAGCATATCTGAGACCAGCCCATACTAAGAAATTGGTTTTTTCAATCTTTCTTATAATGATACTATGTGACTCTGCAATACTTAAATCAAATCGAAGATCGGAAACCAGAAGAAAACCATTGTCGAAAAATGTTTTGTAAAAAATTGGCTTATTATTTATCCTAATGTCTTTATTATTCCAAATAATATCATACCGCATTTTATCTGTAGAAAAGTCGCTCAGACGTCATTTCGTGGGGAAACCAGTGGTGGTGTCGCCGCGAAATATCGGCTGTTTCTCAGGCTATAACGGGTCCTGTTTTTGGTTGTAGTGGAAGATTCTGCGTGGCTGCGTATGTCGTTGTGCTTTTGTCTGCTGTTACGGCTGCAAGTGTGTCGACTGTGACGCCGCTCAGGAACGTGACAACGAGATGGCCTGGGAACATTTTGAGTTACCTAGCAACAAGCATTCCAAGACACCTACTTTTTATCTCCCTGGAAAAGTCATTCATATTGTCAAAACTGTCTCCATACCAACGTAAGTCGCCTTCGTTATCGGCGGGTCAGGGAATTTGCTTATTAGAGAGCTTTATATTCTAAGACGAAGACGACTACGAGATCGAAATTTTCTCCATACTAAGTAGTGCACCCGCGTGAACCAGCATCATTTTTGCGGGAAAACGCGTTAGCCGTCCTCATTCTACTACGGGTTTTTGCGAAAAACAAGTTATCAAGTTTTAGAAGTTGTATCATTTCGGAATCGGGAGAGGGCTCAACCTCCTTCAATAAAAATAACCGTGCTAATTTTCAGGTGAAAAAAAAAGTAGAATGAAGCTCTCCGGGGTGTATATTTTTTAAGAATACGCGAAAAAACTAATTTGAATGATAGCGTTATCCGCCTTTTGAGCAACTGGGGTCTGATAATTTGCACCTGTATGGCAATTTTCTGCGAATGTATGTGATAAACATTTGCAAGAAAATGAATTCTAATACATCTCCAGCAGTGAAAAAACAACCAAACGAAAAGATTTATAAGCCTTTGGTTTCCCTTATACTGCGCGTGCCTAAAGCGAGGCGAAAAAGCTTTTTGGACAGTTAGTCGTGAAAATTAAGGGGTGCTTATATATAACGTTGTAATAGCCCACCATGCATTTCTCAACGGACAATACCCAACTCGCTTTGACTCTGAAAGTGAATACCACACAGGTTGTCGAGAAGTCCGTTTCTGTCAACAAGAGTCTTATTCAGGACTACTCTCACCCGGAAGATCATATTCCACCTACTGAAGATAGTCAATTCATATTTGCAGTCGATGCGGTCGTAAACGCACCATTTACGAACCCGTTTGGGCAGATTTAGAGGACTTCCAGTCCATTCAGATCTCAAGCCTGATGTGGGAGGACCATATGCCAGACTTTGTATTGGACGCTCTCAATCAGTGCCTTCCTAGTAAGGAACAGGAGGAGACAGTGCTTTATGGACCTGCGCTGCCAAGCCCCAACACCCTATTGGTCCCTGGTTCAGACGCCGTGGGAGCCAATCATGTACATAATCACATTGGGTCCAGATTACCGGGATCTTCAGGTAATGAAGGTTTTATTTTTGTTTTTCGAGCACTTTACAGTTAGACAACCATAAACGTTTTTTACTGTTGCTAAAATTCACCACCACGCATTTTCTTGCATTGATATCAAGTTTGTCTCTTAAATTGTACCTTTCGTTGGTGGTTTTCGAAATCGTCGGATCCGGAAATTCTCGGAAAATGTTAACGTTCGCCTGCCTTCGAACAGAGAAAATCTTGTTTCGGAGCTTCGAAAATCATCAAAAACGCCGTCATCAGCATTTTAAAAGTTGAGAATTAAGAACGAGCGCAGCGAGTGAGTAAAATATTGTTTTGCTAAATTTATCAGGTTAAATACCTTCTGAGTTTTTATGTGCTAAACAGAGACTTGTTTAGCTGATTTTTTAAAAGTTGAGAATTAAGAATTCTAAATTTATCAGGTTAAATACTCTGAGTTTTAAAATTGCTTTGAGTTTAAATGTAAATTCAAAAGTAGTATGTTGTATGTATGTAGTATGTAGTATATTCCAACCGAAAGCCAGAGATGAGGACTTCGTTCTGGTTGGTATGAATTAAATACAAAGTCGCGTACTATTCACTTTCCTCATCAATTCTAGGCTTTGGCCACACATATTGGCGTATCTGTCAGATTCAAAACTTAAAAGAATGGTATTGTTACGGTGAGCCAGTAAATCGCTTACTATTATGCCACTGGCCAACCCAGCTGAGTTTGCTCTGTTGTAGGGTAAGCACCTCTAGTCTAGCCTCCTCAGTAGTGTTAGAATTCTTGTTTATGGAGTCGAATCTGGCCCAACTTAAACCCAAGTTACCCTCCTGGAGGACATAACATTCACATTCGCATTTCATTTGTTTCTTCAAAAGCGACTGAGCCTAATACAACAAGAGAAGAACAAGTGGCCTTAGAGAGAGTACCCTCAGCTGACTCCTTAGCTTTAGGTAAGAGACCATTGTGTAATCTTGTAACAATAACTATTGTAATACTTAGGGGCAATCTCGTATAACAAATTTTCACGTCTCAGCGATCGAGAGGTCGGGTTGGGTCGGGATTGGGAAGAAAGGGAGAGTACATCGCCTACTTCCTCTTTTGTGCCTTAATCCTTTTTACTTCTCTGCCTGTATTTCGTGGTTAAAACACTGAAGGCAAAACCGGTTCATGTGGGAAACATTACATTACCTTAGGAATTTTCCATTCCTTCTAACCCGTTCCAGTCCACTTAAAAGCGGATTGAGTATGTACTTTCTCTTTTTATCATTGACCATACTCGTGTTCTCGGCAGTGAACTGGAGCCTTACAGTCGAGGCCAGTGCGGGAGATATCATTGAAAATATTTGCATGTGAAGGGCTATTCCACATTAGCCTCGACTTCAAACTTCAACCCTGGTCAAAACTCTTGCGACACTAACGCAATAGCTCGTCAAAATGAGGTGTTTTCCCTCCCGCGGTGCAGTGTTGACGTTATGCCGGCATTCAAGTTGTTTCAACACAATCAATTTTGCTTGGGGGAGAGGGGTACAGTAGAAATAGGCTCCTATAACAACATTCCCAAGCTTTTAAGAGGTAGAAAATGAGTTTATTTAGCAAAGTGCGTCTTCGTGCCTAATTTCCTTAAGTGTCCCAAGATGTTTTTACCAAGGTTGTAGTTCCAGATCTTTACCGAGTTAACAAAAATGGCTGTTTCGAAGACAGGAACGTGTAGTGGTAAAGGATACTTAACTGACAGTGTTCATATACAGCATCCTGTTGAAATCTGCTGAGTTGATTTGTAACCTAAATCTTTGCTCAGTTTTGACTAATTTCTGGACATATCACTGCTGTAGTTTGTTCATATTAGTTTGATTCCTCTTTTATTTGCTGTTGCACACGGCTCTATTCATCTTCCGAGCACTCCAAAGCACTGCTTATTTTCACGCTTGTTGCTGTGCATTTTTGAGACCTCTTTCTCATTTTCAAACTTTTGTGTCAAGGGGCTAGGTAGACGTTATTTAGCTGAATTTATTTTTCTTTTTTTTTTTACGCACTGTAACCCTCAGGCCCCAGTTATTTAAAAGGTGGATAACGCTATGCACTGGATAAATCTCTGTCGAGTGGGTTTCCCTAATATTTGTTCGCTGGATAGCGATCTTTCCGGTGGATAGCTCCATCCAGCGTTTGAGCAACCTGGGCCGAGTCCAGTTTTGTCCATCGATGCCCCTAAAATTCCGTTTGTTTTCTTCGCCAGACTTGGGGCGATTATTTTGTGAGCAGATGGTTAGTGGCTAGTCCCTTGAACGACTGGCCTAAGGAAAAAGAGCATAAAAAATTTAGAGCGCAAATTAAAACGGGAAGGAGGACACGCGCTTAAAGGGAGAAAGCTACCTCTTTTCTCACGTGTCGTCCTCCTTTCTCGCGCGCTTCGTTTATCTCGCGCTGCATGCGCCCGCCAGGCAGTTTATTAAGGACGGCAGCGAAAAACTGACTCCTCAAATATATTCGCGTTATTTTTTTTCAAATTTAGTGGCGTTTATTCCAACGCGCTTTAAATGCCCGCACTCAAGTTAAGAAAGAGAAGAAAAAAAGGCAAAAACTTGTTGTCGTAGGTTTGTCCTCAATAAAACGTTGCCTAAGGAGATTGCTCGTCGTTGTAGACGAGCAGGGACGGCAAAGGAATGTACCAAAAAATATTCTCATAGTTTATTAAACCTTTTTCTTTTTTCACGTTCTTATCGTCGTTGCTAAACCTCTCTCCATCTCACATCTCCTCTCCACCTCAAGTTTTCTCTTGTTTTATGAGTATTGTGTTGTTTGGTTTCGTTGTCAATCTGTGTTTGTTAATCCGTTTCGCTATACAGGTTTTAATTACTAATCTTAACCTTTAAAACAATTGAAATTGGAAGTTGCAGTGACGCTAAATGAGGTCTTAAAACCTTGAGTTTTTTTGACATAAAAATAAATGCGTAAGTTTAACAGTGACTTAAACATATTTCATTTTTCTCTGTCTTTACAACTCTGCCAGTTTCGTTTTTGTAATTTGATTTTTAAAGTTCAAGTGTCCCAAAAACGACTAAGGATTCAAATCAAGTGTTATGTAAACTTCTTGTTACATTTCGGAAGTGATAAATAATTAATTAAGTTTTTTAGGTGACTTAAAAGAAATTAAGCCACGCAGTTTACTTAAGAACGAAAGTTATGAATTTGCACTCACAGCCCAATAACGCCCTCTAACTTGCCTGACACATATCGTGCTAAACATTTAACCGTTTGGTTACTAATCAAGAGCTAACGCTTTAAAGACAAAATAAACCCGGTCCCAAAAAGCTGCGAATTCGCATTATCGGACCGAGCCAAGTTGAACAGGCCTTTATCAGGTGGTCAGTCACGTGATACAAAGACGCATTGAAAGCGCTGCGACAAGAATTCCTTTGTTTGTCTTGTCCCAGTGCTCTTCGTGCACCACAGCTCCGCGGTTTTGTAATAGGTGACTCACCTCCCGCAAAGGACCCATTGCCAGGAAATTGTTTCCTCTTATTGTCTCTCCACAATGAAAATCGTGTTGGCACCGCGTGTGATCTACTATCTAACGGTTCCTATAGTTACTGATTCGTCGCATGACTAAACAGTCTATTTTGTACCTTTTGTAAACTCTTCTTCGTTTCTTCTTTGACTAAACTTTAGAAGTTGGACTTGACGTTCCTGCTGATATGCAAAGCATCGACGGCTTTGAAATCAGCGTGACTACAGTTTGACAAGGTAATGTACTGTATTCTTGAAGCGGGGCCCATTCTCTACGATTCATTGTTTACACACTCTTCTTAATGATTTAAACCGTTACATTTCTTCCCTCGACGCATTCGTTCGAGTGTCTTCTTGTTTCTTCCCTTCTCTACGCCAAAATTGTTATTAATTATCGCCTCCTTCATCGCTAAAACATCGGAGAAGGCGAGTCTATGCTCGTCGATAATCGTGTTTTGAAATATTTTTTTTCCATAATTAACTAGTTTAAAAAACTCGATCCTTGCGTCAAATATGACAGGTCAGTCGCCTTGCTAAATTAACTCTTTGGTGCAAAAGTATTCGTACAACAATGACCTCTTTTTCTGTGCGAGGAAGTCATCGTTTTACTGCTTTTAGTACTTTGGCACTGTTCTTCTCACTTCAAAATGAGAGACCGTAGCTGTATTGGCACTTAGATGGTTTTGAACAGTTGGTTTGTTTTAAGCTACATTCATGCCACAACTTGACAACACAACGACTTTCACAGCAGTTGTCACTGTTGTTCTTCAAAAGTACTTTTAGGCGCTCTTTTCCACGCGAAATCGAACAAAAGTGAGACCTGTATTTCCCCGCAAAAGCAAATAAACGTCTTCAGTTGAAGATAATTTTATAACAGTGTTCTCGAACTTTTAAAAGACTGCTTTTATAAAAGTGCTCGTTTTTCCTGTCAATAATGTAATTGAATCCAAATTAAAACCTTAAACCTTTATTTAAACCTATAAGATAATTAAAAGATAACAAAACTAAAAGAAATTTCCAACGAATTTCAACGTGTTGAGTTGCACTCAGTTCTTATTATAGTTTTTTTTTTTTAAAAAAAAACAGGTAGAACACCAACCCCGTGATAAGAGTTTTGCGACGTTAATTAACTTCTGTTTTTATTTTGCGCTGTGTGCGTTTTTGTACTTTATTTGAGATTGAAAGGTTACCGTTTTTGTGTTTGCGTTTTCTGCTGTGTGTGTTTAGGTTTTCCTCTTTGTTTGTTCTTTGTTGTAATTAGCTTCAGTGCGTAATGAACTCTAAAATTTTGTAAGAGTATTGTACAAATATTAATGTGTATGTGATCTTTCTTTCTCGTCTACTTTCACCCTGTACATCGCAGCAAATGGTCTTTTTTATAAAAGACGACTTTAACACCGTCTGATCTTTAACACAGAGCAGTTGAAAACTTGTGTTTGACCTCTTTACAGAATTCCTCGTATCTTGTTTCCTTGTCTTAAATTCTCAAGGTTGCATTTTGTTCTTGTTCTTATCACAGAAGTGGGTCACCCATTATGGCGGGTAAGTGCTCTTGTATCAGAAGCACGTAAAGCACCAATAGCACGACCCGAAAGTGCCTTTGATGATTCCGACTTGGACGAAGGCGCGCCTTCCGCGCGCGTTTCGGCGAATTGGAAAGACTTTACACTTCCCTCGTTTGAACAAAGCACCGACGACGTCATTGTAGAAACGCATCCGTGTCCACGTTCGAACACAGACCTTTCTGATTCACCATCTTCCTTGCAATCTTTAAAAACGTTGGATGAGATTTGTATTAAATATACCTCGGTTACTTCAGTATCTCATAGCTTTGACCGCACTCCACCCCGAACAAACCGAAGCCCACCTCCGAAGCCTCCCCGAACATTCGAGACGGAAAAATCCGAGGGTCGACAGAGCTTCCGATACAAACCGCCGCCGAAACCTCCACGAACCTTCGAATACGACTCGCAAATTCAAGCGAACTTTTCTTCATCTCTTTACTGGAATTTTCCGCGTCCACGTGCTCGAAGATACGAAACTCAATTTTCTTCACCTGATTTAGAGAGCAGTAATGTATCCACAGAACATTTGAATGGAACAGAATCAGAAACACCACTCGCTCCGTACAGCTCTCATAGGCCGAAAATGCCTAAATTCTACTCCTTGCCCAGAACAGGCCAAGAGGAAACTTACATCGAAAACGGGTACACCCTGGACGATGATGACACAGTTGCCCTGTTCACCAAACAACCATCGACTCAAAACGGTGTGGCTGTCAGAAGGTCAAAACCGCACTCGGATGAGTCTTCGACACCCGAGTCGCGTTTTTCTGTATCAGATTCGGTTCTTAACATTTCGCAGGAAGAGCTGTTTCTCCTGGGATCAGTTAAACCGCGCGGCGGAAGGCGAAAGAGGAACGGGCTTTTAAAACAAGCAGCGTCCGAGACTCTTCACAGCACACACCCGAACTTGAATGGTGTTAACCAGCCGCTAAAGAGTCCACACAAAGACCCTAATTTTCTTGAGACAATGTTATGATGAGCTTTGAATTAAAATCGATTTTGTTGTAGTAAAGGATTAAGAAATGCAAACAAAACGGCGTCAGTGCTATCGCGGATCAATGCCAACATTTACGGCTTCAGTTTGTCTGATGTGGTAAGGATGTGAAATACGATCTCAACTATTTTCGCACGATATTACTCTTCGGTTTTCAGCTGCATGTTGTCATACCAAGCCCTCTCCGGGTTTTGCATCTAACAAGCGAGGAGTCACAGAAGCAGTTTACCTGGTAATACGCCCCGTTTCTGCCACTTGGGGTTGAATAGATTGTTTCAAGTTTTTGTATGTATAAACAGTATTAGTTAGGGATGCATGCGCGTAACACTCTAAGCCCCAATGTCCACGTACAAATTTTCCAGATTGAACTCCAGACATTTCCTTAACTAAGTCGCTGAGAGAATTTGATAAAATATCAAGGCATTTTTTATATTGTGATCATTTTACTAATTCTCATAACCGTTTTCCTTGATGATCTGTGAACAGATTTGAGGACGAGAAAGAGTACAAGTACGAGATTTAACTTAAAGTTTTTGCGCGTGTTCTCAAAAAAAGACAACCGGGAAAGCTTCATTTTACTTTTTTTTTTTTTTCACCAAAAAAGTTTGTACGGTTATTTATACTGAAGCAGGTTCAGCCCTTTCCCGATCGCAAAATAATAAAACTTCTCACATTTGATAACTTGTTCCCGCCACTACGAAATTCTCGCTGAATCCTGTTGTAGAATGACGACGGCTATCACGTTTTCCCGCCAATATGGTTCACGCGCGTGCACGACTTAGTATTTGAGGAAATCTCGTACTCGTAATCGTACTCGTCCTCGAATCTAAAGCTCTCTGATATTCTTAAGAGAAAGTTGATGTTGGTCACTGGGACTTAAAGGGTTAAATATACTGTAATATATGCCGCTTACGAGAAAACGCCTCCGGTTTATATTATAAACAAATTATAAACAGGATTTATATGAACTTGGTGAGAATGAAAATGAAAATGATGTTATTACGATATGAAAGCAAGATGAAGTTTTCCATCGCTTGCCTTTCAGTTTTCTAGTGCACCAAGACTAAATGATGCCTCAAAGATTTTAAGACTAAACTAAAAGGTAAAACGTAAAAATTTTCTTTCACAGAGAAAGCAAAAAGGACCATGAAAGTCAAGGAGCGGTTGTTTAGTAACTGTGCGAGTGCTACAGCTAAAGGCCCGGTTAATACTCTCAACATTTTTGAGACATTTGTTGAGGGCCGAAGTTACGATTATTTGAGAACCCCTCAGAACATTGCTGGAACATGATGAAAATTTTAACTTTGCTGCTACATTTCTTTTTTTCTTGAAGTATTTGAAGTTGTTTGAGCCGCTCTCACAACTTTTTTTGTACACGCACAATCGCTCACAGTGTGATGATAAACATGACCATCTATTTCTATTTGTGGAGGGTGTGTTTTGATTCCTTAGTCCGACGTGGTCTGAACATTTCCCAACATTCCCTCGACAAATGTTGCGAAATGACTGTTTTCCGTTGAATATCATTACCAGCCCTGTTGTTATGTGATATTCTTAGTAACGTGACAGTCCTTCAAGTAAGAAATGGACTTTTTTAGGAGAAAAAACCAGAGTCGCCTACACGACGTGAACATCGTATTGTTTCCCTCCGTTTTTATTACGGTCTTTTCTAGTGACATTTTCAGTTTTTGCGTACAGATATACTGTTAGAGAAGTGACTTATGTAACCTCTTTGGAATCAGATAATATTTCTCAAAATTTAAACAAAATCGTTATGTGAACATTCCATGGCTATAAAAGTAACCGCTCTGACACTCGTGTATCAAACTGATTTTAGAGTTTAAAGCTTAAAAAGTGGCCATGTGCCGTTATTTAATATATTAAATATTATTTATTGCCACAAAAGTTTAGAACATATTTAAAGAGAACGTGGGAGGTAATATCTAACTTAGAAAAAGTAATATATAACTAAAAGAAAGATCCTTAGATCAGTTGCTAAGGTATAGTATTAGATATTATAAAGTCTTGTCTTTGATTATATTTAACAATTTCTTACTTGATCGTAGTTCTCTCACTTTTAATACCCGAGCCATCATTGCTCAACCCTTTTTAACATGTATACTCTGTAAATAGTTTAACTCGTACTTGGATACAAAACTTATGAAATGTAAGACTGAGAGCGATCGGTCGCTTGTATGTACAGTAGATTAGACAAGTGTACTTTATTAAAGTTTAAAATGAATAACAACTCGTATAAAGAATAGCCACGAGAGTTCTTGTTGTCTCTAAGAATAGTTCTTGGGGTGGGTCGGGGGGGGGGGGCGCAAAATAGTAGTACCATCGGGACCATTTCATTGCGACTGCCGTGTAAACCCTTCAATAGCAGCCACGCTTACTTGATTAACAACTCAAACTAGTTGCTGCGGAGCGACCGAAGGGAGCGAGCAGCAACATAATCACGATTTAAAGGAAATATATAAGGGACGACGAATTCTCGAATTCATCACTTTTTACCACAATGCATTGCATTTAACCACAGTTTTAACCACAATGCATTGCATTTAACCAGAGTGCATTGCGCCACGAACAACTCAAATAAAAACACCAGGAAGTTCGGTGGGTGAGAGAGTGCATCGTTCGCTGCTCAGACTTAGAATTTTCTTTGTGGCAAATTTTCTACAGCACGGTTAGAGATCTTACCAAATTTTAAGATACGCAGGAGTCTTTCAGATGAGTACGATGGTTAACTTGGGGATTGGATTTCAATTCAAGAGCCTTTGACTCGTCCAGGTGTTAAACCTGACGAGAAGATGAGCATTTGCTCTTCGACTCCGCAACACGGGGGATATACAAATTTCAGCTTGCTAGAAGGTGATGTGAAAGTGAGAAAATGTCATGCAGTGCTATTCTTAAGAAACTGTATGAGCCGAAAATGGATGTGATTTTGACCATTCGCTTCAAAATAACAGCGGAAATCGAGATAACAAAACATATGTTTTGTGTCCTACTTTGCAAACCAGGACGTGTATCGGCGTTTTGAAAAGCATAATTATGTTCTTTCATTCATTCATTGCCATGGAATATGCGTTTACATTGTTTTTTCACTGTTAATAGCTCGGTTAATGCGGCTGGCGATCATCTTGCCGGCGGAAGTTTCATGGTAAAGGAATAAATCAAGACTTTTCTTCACAATTACTTAATTAGCCTCTCTGGTGTAGTGGTTAGGTGTAGTCGCGTCGAGCCGAAGGTGCAGGGTTCGAGTCCTACCGTATTCTGTGTTCCTTCTTTCTTTTTTTTCCGTTTTTTGTGTTGTTGTTTTCTATAAATATATAGCTAAATAACTGTTACTTAATAAAGTGCAACAAACAGCAACAAAAGTATTGTGTTTCCAGAGAAAATATCGTGCACCGTATATTAAATATGGATAAACAATCTGAATTTCTATTATTTCCTACAATTTACTGTGGGAAAACCAGAGTTGTAACCACTTGATCATTTTCTAAACAACGTTCCCACGAGTTATTTCTATAGACTGATAGTAATTATTCTAATACTTTCCAACATGTAAATAGGACATTCAATATCATTTTGGATTCTTTTAAGTCTCACTGCCTAACTAATGCCAGTAACAACAGAATGTGCCGCAGCATTACTGTCTTTTAGATACCCTAGTAATGTAATATTATTATGGTACTCTGTAAGCATCCAGCTCGTATCACCCAAAACGCGACCACAGGGCCTGTTATCTCTCCTTAGTGTTTTCGGATCATTTTAGGTTTCCTGGACACTACCCACCTACCCCTCCCCTAAGCCAACACTATATATAACACTTATTTCTCACTTAGGGCAGAATGTTGGCTTAGGGGAGGGGTAGGTGGACAGTTTCTCAGAAACCTATTTAAAGTGATCCCCCCTCTTCTTGGTTGGGCCTCCTTCCTATAGGAATCCTGAGTCCTCAAACTGGACAAGTGAAACCGGGGGAGGTATTCCCTATGATGGCTTCAGGTATATGAAACGGTGGGGATTTCACTAGTTGAGATATATGAAAGGGTCGAGAAATCTGTCGTTTCAGTGTGTAAAAAAGCCTAAATTGGCTAACAGATGCATTTTATGGCTGTGGAAAAGTCAAAAAAGCGTTCTCTTTTTATGTGTGGTTTATGCATACTTTAAAGATAGTGGACTTACGGAAGTCAAAGGGATGTAAAGTTCTAAACAAGGTAAGAAGCGAAAGGGGTACCATTGGTCAATAGTGGGTATATGAAAGGGGTACCTTTTCTACCGAAAATGATATTTTAAAGGCTAAGGGGTTGCTGCCTCGTCCCCAGTCGCTTGCGATCACTGGGGGAAATTTGACTTAATTATTAGGGAAAGCGGGGACGATCACTCCCAACTCGCGCTCGCGCTCCCATCATCCCTCTCTCGCGCTTCTCGCTTGTCTCGCGTGCTCGTGGGTTCCCCAATCCCTACTTAGACTTGGCAAAGCCTGTGGAAGAGGCAGAAGGGGTTGGACCTCGAGAGTCTTCGCTTATAAAACTTTGTCGAGTACCCCCTTCCCTCGGGGTGAAAAAGTGCGACTGACGTGCTTTAAATCGCGTTACTGCTGCTGACTGTCCGAGGTGCAGTCCTTAACAACCGCCTACCGTTGTTTCTACGTCTTCTGCCAAATCTTTCCCAGAGTTGCTGCCTAAAAGCTCCGCGGAAATTTTCATTGAATATGAAATAAAGGCACGGGTTAATGGCGACATTTGCATGCGTCACAAAATAGGATGTGAGGATTAACCAATCGGGGAGGCAGCTATATGTTTTGAAGTCAAATGTCAGAAGAAAATGATTGACGTGCGCTGGAAGCCAGCAAATTGCGAAGATTGTTACAATGGTGGCCAGCATGAAGATAACCTTTCGATTCAGTTCTCTGATTCTCTGGCTGTTTTTGTCGATTTGCTCTCCAGGTGCTCTTCGTTTCCGCAAATGGAGTGCTAATTTTAGGTATAGAATAGTCATGATAAGAAAGGGAACGAGGTATAGCAGGAAAAACCGGACCACCATCTCATGTTTGGTGATCTTAAGGGATTCGTGAAGATCTTCTAACCATCTTGGAGCGCAGATCACTTGACCCGACTCGTTGAAAAGCCTGTATTTGTAAAGCTCCGTTACGGACATTGCGGCTGAAATGGTCCACGTTAAGGCGATTGCTGCCAGTGTTAGTCTTGGAGACAGCGGCCTTCTCATTGTCCGCACAATCGCTAGATAGCGGTCAAAAGCCATCCAGGCCAGCGTCAGCACAGACACACCAGTAGAAATAAGGGCAAGAAACGGCAGGAACTTGCACAGGAAGACAGCAAAGCCTCCTTGGAACCAATTGACACCTTGAAACAAGTACGCTAGGGACAGTGGGATAGCAGTAATAGAAGCGAACACATCCGAGGCCGCCATGTTGACAATCAGCATATTGAATGTTGTCTTCAGCTTTGGATAATGAAAAATTAAGAAAATGATTACCAGGTTACCAAGCAACGCCATCGACAAAGTGGTGGCATAAGCTACAGACAAGGCGATCTGGAGACACAACGTGGCTGGCTGAAACGCGCATGCGTTATCGTCGCTTGACAGATCTAGAACTGGAGAAGAAGGGTTAGAAAAGGATTAATTAGCTTTGCTAATTGCTAGTTTTATTCACTAGAAGCAGATATCGTTTGTTTATCTTGATCTAATATCCGACGATCCAACTCATCATCGTTCGATGGGTCTAAGGTGCTTTCCATACCAGCAAAACTGCCAGAAATTTTTGTTGAAACAGCCCATTCCAGTTATTCCAAAATTGTTCACGGGAGCTTGTTCGTCCAATAGCTGTCAAGATTGTCCATAAAAACTTCATCCCAAAATATCTCGATAACGTTCTCATAGATTTCGCGTTTACTTCACGAACATCGAGAAGGCTATTGGAGGAAAAAGCTCCCGTGAACGATTTGCAAGTAAAATAGGTAATGGCGTCATTTCGTTGCTATGACAACTCCTTTGTCATTGTAACCCTAATTATTGCAAATTTCCATCTTTATCTAATACGGCTGTGGTGGTGATTTTTCCAAATCTTTGTTAATGGCAACATAGTTTATACTCAAAAGTGGTTAGTATTGACCCTGAAAAACCCCTCCGAGCCACCTTAAACGGACATTTTTTGTGTGAAATGAAAACGGCCCCAATTCCGTCCATGACATAAAATTTCGGAAAATTGCAATTTAAATGAAGCGCCGCTGTGTCTCCGGAATCAACTCAACGTTGTTGATAGGCCATTTAAATTGAGCCCGAAAACAAACTCCCTTTCTAATGAAAATGAGTCTTATTCGCAGGATAATATTCGCCAGGCAATAATCGGAATGCGAATGTTATTGCATGGGCCGTAGAAATTAAAGTTTCGATTCGTTGGGAAAACAATTGAGCTTGATAGAAAAGTAATAATTCTTAGTTTCGTGGTTAAAGATGTCCCCCGAGAAACACAGATATCGATCAAATGGGAGAAAATGGGGCCAAACGGGATGTTTAGCAACGCGAGACTTCAGCACCTATGACAGAGGAATCTCGTATGTTGGCTCCAACTTGAGTCTTTGGACGAAATCCTTTGTTTTGACTATTTAAATCAAACCCCTTTGGGAGTGCTTTCGCATACCACAATTTGTTGTTCTGCATTTTGTCTAATTTCGACTTTAATCACTCCTGTGAGTAGGAAGCGAAAGCAACGACGACGAAACGGCAATGAAAACGTCGCTGAAAAAGTTGAAATTGCGTCTTTTCAAACTTTATAGCGTCTTTTTGGAAACGGTCAATTAGCGGGGGCACCCAACGACAATTTTCGGAAAATATCTGTTCGGAAGACGATTTGAGATCTAGAATTTTCGGAACATTTGTTGTAAAATTTTTTGGTTGCCTTCCTCTCCTAGGATTTTCGAACATCTAAAAACCACCATAATTGCCCATTTTTAACGGATTTTTACCCTTAAAAGGTCACCTAGAATTTTCGGGAGCCTTTTTTCTGGCTGAAATTTTCGAAAAGGTAAGTTTTGATCCCTATAATTTTCGGATCACTAGACTTTCAGCTAGGAAATCCGAACAGATTAAAAATTTTTAGGGGATAAAAATATGCCTATATCTACCGTTTAAATACTAAAATACGTTTAACAATGCTATGTTTAAGTGGTTTTGAACTATATTCTCGTTGGGTGCCCCTGAATTAGTTAAATGT